AGGCCGCGGGACTACGCGTCAAGGTAAGGGTTAAACCGCGGGACTACACGTCTAAGGGAAGGATTAGGCCACGGGACTACACGTCTAAGGTAAGGGTTAGGCTGCGGGACTACACGTCTAAGGTATAAGGCTTAGGCCACGGGACTACACGTCTAAGGTAAGGGCTCAGGCCGCGGGACTACACGTTTAAGGTAAGGGCCCAGGCCGCGGGGTTAGGCCGCGGGGCTACACGTCTAAGGTAAGGGTTAGGCCGCGGGTCTACACGTCTAAGGTAAGAGTTAGGCCGCGGGACGTCGACAACGCGTCTAAGGTAAGGCTTAGGCCACGGGACTACACGTCTAACGCAAGAGTTAAACCGTGGGACTACACGTCTAAGGTAATAAGGGTTAAACCGTGGGACTACGCGTCTAAGGTAAGGCTCGGCCCGCGGGATTATGATGAATAGTTGTTGTCATACATTGTAGCGCGTACAATTGTCGTACAATAAAATCTTAATGTTACGTTACCTCAGGAGTGGTGCACCTTCCTCGGGCTGCAACTGTCAGACATCCGGAAGTACCCGAACAACGTGAACGCCATCAGCCTGGACGGGCCCATCCCCGTGGAGGCCATGCTGAACGTGGTCCACTGGAACATGGCGGTCCACCTGTATGCCGTGTCCGGGGCCAAACCCACCCGAATCTACCCGGGACCGAACGCCGTGCTACCTTTACAGGTCTCACCCCCGGAGACCGGCGAATGTCTGTCCATCAAAGTCACCCCGCTCAAGCTGGCGACGTTTGACAGAGACGTGCAGCTGTCGCTCGTGCTGTACGACAAGGACATGAACGTAGCGCGCGTCATTCGGAACAACTTCCTCGTCAAGGGGGTACCGGGGGCCAACAACTTCGGCGGCGCGCAGCCGGGTGGGTTTCGGTTCAGCGGCCCGATCATCCCGACGCAGAGTTCCTTCGTGATCGAGCACATTTTCGAGCAGAAAGACCTGGGGCAGGACTCTATGTACATCAAGGACGGGTTCTTACACATAGCGATCATCATCAAGCCGCGCCTGGTAGCCGGGGCCGGGTCGTCGGACGCTGCGGAGGCGGCGGGGACAGGCTAGGGACACCGCGGGTCCGTTCACGTGCCATCGGCGGCGCGCGTTTCCGTCTCGTATACGGTTGTTGTCATTTGAAACGGTCGGTGCTGTATCGCTGAATATCCGAGGGTATCACAACGTTTTTTTTGATGGACACAAACATTTAAAAACGTATAAAACTCACTCACTCAGCACTGCATGCTCCAGGGAGCGTCGCGCCTCTCCAAGTTGTCTTCCAGATGGTTCTGTCCTGCGCCCTCTGTCAGGCTGCGGCTACATATAAAACGCAACATTTCAATTGCAGAGGCACGACAGCAAAGGCATAGTAAAGATATCAGTGATAAAACAAAGAGCACAAATAATAAGTCGGATTCGAACCATGTCTTTAAATGTTGGACTGAAAAAAAACAGCCCTGGTCAAAAAGCCTGATCCTGAAACCCTGATCCTTTACGCCCCAAAATGATCACGGTGTTGACGGAGCGTTCTAATACACTTCAAGTTTGCCGTTCTGCGATATGGCATCAATCGTTTAAGACTTTGAGAATTTTAAATGGCAACGATAGTTTACGGAAACGTGCATTGGCGTCTGTAGGACCGACAGTTTTGCCATATAGATAGAGACAAAGACCCCGTTCAGGCCAGACTTTCAAAACTCGGTTGAAACCGCTAAATAATTAGCGGAGGAAAACCCGGCTAAAACCCTTAGCGTTCATACCAGCCTTTTCATAACCGGTTTTGTAAAAATCCTGTCCGATCAATATCCAATTAATCGGCCATGACTGCAGTTTGAATAACCGTTCCTCCCGCTCTTCCGATTGTTGTCCTTGGCCTTCTTGTTCTTGTTGTCCTTGGCCTCTAGGTTAAATAAAAACTGGTTTTTGAAAAAAAGAACGGTTGAAACCGCTAAATATAAGTCTGGTCTGAACGGGATCAAAATGAACAAGAGTGGGTGACGTAATGACCAGATGAAAATGTTGTATGAAAAGGGAATGTTGACTTGGGTTATGTAGTTTGGAATGTGTAATCTGGTAGGATGTACTTCAAGAACTACGCAGAGGTAGAGAAATTTAGTTGGGAAACAGTTGATCTAGTCTGTTTTCTCAAAAATTCCCTTAGCGGTGAATTAACGAAGGGATGAATTAAAAAAAAAGCAATACATACAAGCATGCAAGATGAAGGGAAAAATAAGGAATACCATGACATATTTCTTGTTGCACCATGTCTGTATTCAACTGTATCGCTGATGCGTTGCATATGATGTAGATAGGAAAACACAGTACAGCCATCCCTCACCTCATGTTTGTCCCAATAACCTGTCATCCTAGCGGAAAACCAGTATATTGCAGTCCAGTCGTCCTTCGGCATGACGTCATGGTAATACTATGTGCCAATATTCCCTCTCATTCGCTGCCATGTTGATAGCCTCGAATTCCAGGTGTGTCCTGTCGGGTCCAAAAATGCGATCACACTTAAAAATCATACTGTCAATTCCTACCAAGCCTTGGGGGCGAGGTTGCCATATCCGAGTACATTGCCATTCATCCAACGTGCCGTTTTCCAAAATGTTCCATTTTTTGGTGCCATCATCCATCATTTCAACCAATCATGGTGCTCCATTATATTCCATGTGCCAAATCATCCAATCGTTTTTTTCATCCGGTCGCTACAGTGACTATCATCAATCATTTCAACCAATCATGGTGCGCCATTTCATGTGCCAAACCATCCAATCAGCATTTCATTCGGTCATCGCGAACAGTGACTACCATCCATCATTTCAACCAATCATTGTACGTGCTTCATTTCATGTGCCAAATCGTCCAATCAGCATTTTCGTCCCGGGTCACAACAGTGATCCATCATCTCAACCAATCATGGCGCTTCATTTCCAAATCAACCAATCAGCATTTCCATGTAGTCATAACAGTGAGCTTTCCATCTCTCCACGGACAAATAACAAAAAAAAATTCTATACTACATTCATATCTTGAGGCTAGCGATTGCCAAATCACACTGAAAATTGCAATACATGAAAGTTGCACACGACCAAACCTCTCATCTTTATGTTTCATAGTATTACATTTGACCGAATACTCAAAATGACGACCACTTGTACCTAATGCAATGTCAACAATCATGTATACCAGCAATATGCATGTTGAAATCACACTTCTGATCATTTAGGACGTTCCACCATCACCATGTAGTGTATATTTCACAACACGAATCGTTATGCACTTATCAATTTTAATCCGAACTGAACTTCAGTGAAAATTTCCTGTGGACCCCCAGGGGGTTTTCATGGGTCAATTCCTTCCATTTAAAAGGTAGTTATATAAGTGGAGGGTATATGTATGCATGTGGGTCAAGAACGCCCATTGGCCCCTCGCGGTCCTCACTTGATTTTAAGTGTATTTGTTACCACTTTGAATAAAGAGGTATTAAAATAACAAGAGAGGAAAACCGGAAAAATGTAATTGGATATATTTGTAGAATGTAAGCTTCTCATTGACAATTCAGTGGAGTCTACATATACCGCCGAACTCACTTCTGCACACACAGAAGCAATAAGTATGTTTGTGTATATTGGTAATAATAAATGTTCATCAAATACCCTAGTTCACAACAAGGAGTATCCAATGTGGCAAAAATAACAACTATGATAATATTAATGTAGGTAACTTTGTGATAGGTTTTATAAAAGTGCAATCATGAAAATTGTTGACAATCTACTTTCTTCCATGAACTGTGCTATGACGTGTCAATTTGTGAAATAAAATATTTCACAGTATTCAGATTCTCAGTCCACTGCGTCTTTCATTGATCATACGAACTTCGTACTTTCCTAGAACTATCGTAGTGTGGAAATTGCTGCCACCAAGTACAGTAGAGGTATAATCAGTAGATAGCTTTTGAACACCGTTTAGTTAGATGGGCTGAGACCAGGTGTAACAAGTCGTTCGGTGTAATATAGCCAGCTGCCGCCGCGCCACGTGCCTGTGAGGCTGGTGCGTTACGCCGAAGTGCCACACTGATTTAAAATTAAATTCATGGATGTCATCCGTGCGCGCATTGATTTTCTAAAAAAATCACCTCCGAGGAGGCTCTGGCCTGGGTGACATCCTCCGTATTCAATGGTGGCTAAAACTAGCGAGAATAGGGATACGGCGGTAACTACGCATGGAGGATGGCACCCAGCTACCGAGGCTCCACAGAAGTCTAATATTCAGTACAGTGCCGAGTCATAAATGCCGCATAAGGTCAGCATGTAGCGGCTTGTCGTCGCTATGTACTACTGCAAATTCGCAATATGATACCAGCTTCATATATTCCTGTGGTTTAGCAGCATTTTTTTCTGCCCGGATAGGTTGGGGGTCTTCAGAGGATGTCATCCATGAGATTAAGTCGGTGTGACCTATTAAATACTGGCCCCACAGATACATGTTACTGTATTCACACGGCCTGTAGTATCACGGGGTGAGCACGCGTACGGAGTAATGAGTTTGGTTGGAGGCGCCAAGGTCAAAGTATCGAACATCGTAACCTGTTATTCTGGAAGCCGTTTGATTCAAGGTCATCAAATTAAAAAGCTGTATAGGGGTGAACCATTGAGCTTTCTGGGATGACCTTGGTAACATACACATGTCGTGATCACTTTAACTAGTATTCCAGGGACCACTGTAGTCTTCTTAATTATGTTAGGGTTATTTACTACGACCAGATCCAAGAGATTAACCAATTCTAGTTGGTTCCTGAACTGTTTGGAATAACCCGCAGTATTAGGTGTAGTAGTTTCTCTGCTTGGCCTGTGTAGGCCTGACTGTTGTCAGCTACAGCAGTAGTATCCCATTTGATGCCAGGGGTGCTGAAATCGCCAATCACATTGTCAATTTCTTTTTGCTCCCATTTTACCTATTGACCTGTCAAGTTCATCCAGGCTATCGCCCTGGTCTGATTGGGGTCTGTACCGATTATAATCATCAGTGGTTTCCTTCCTGCAAGTTGAGTTTGTGTCCAGATGATCTGCAAAAATTAGATCATCCCTGTTGACCTGGAATACCCTGCTTTGGTTTAACCAATGGTATGTCTGCTGGTAAACTTGAGTTAAAGCTCAGTGTATCAAATGAATAGCTGAATGGAAAGTATCATCAGTGATATCAAATATGGCCGATGCAAAGTTGGGTATACCAGTCACAGCATACCCACGAGTATGATCGGTGGGTTTCTAGTGCACTGTATACTTGAGAACATAGCCCAATGGCAATGCAGTCTCTGTGGTACCATCTATTGCATTAATCACAGCAAATAGCATTATGGGTATTACGTACTGCCTTGTTACAACTCCCACAGGGAAACTAGGCCTTGGGTTGATCTCAATATCCCCGCTTAAGATCAGAATCATGATCAGTGAAAACTTTGTGCCACTATTGTGCAACAGCATTTTCTTGCTACTAACATGAGTTCCGTTAGCCCCGCTGTGCTTAATCATGAAAGCAAAAGTGCCGCCCAGTCAGATGTGCAATCGGTTCTGAAGTTGCATGACTGACCTGTACTTTCTTTATTATCTATAATATAAATAAAGGACTAGGAATATGCAAGTGTAGTGGAGTTCCATTTTTTTATTATCAGTTAAGGGGCTCCGAGGGCCTGCATGGGGGGGGGGGGTAGGCCTAAGGGCTAGGTGCTAGCAAGGACTGGTTAACTAATTTAAACCTCCTTGTGTTCAAGCCTGGTTACCAAACCTAATATCTCCCGAGTCCTACAGCCTCTCCGCAAATAGTAGACTTGGGAGCTATAATAGGTTTGGGAACCAGGCTAACTCTTAGGCCTCAGACTAAGGGCATGCAGGCCCATCTTAAAGGAGTAGTAAAGTCCATAAGGGAGTGCTATTTTCCTATAATGCTGCAATGAATATAGAACTAGAGGTCGGAGATCTCATGTCTTCATCAGAGGGACATTGTTCTAGATAAACGAATATTTTTTAATACTAGAAATCAATTTGGTCTAGAGTACAAAAGAATCTCGGTACTCCTCTTTTTCCGACAGTGTCACAAAATGTAATGAGAAGATGTTGTGAAAGGAAAGAATCAGAACAGGGGGAGATTTATTGCTGTTTTCGTTTGATGTTACACTATTCTCCCTTTTGGACTTTAGTACTCCTTTAAGTAGGTGCTGAATGTATACCTTATTCCTACTAGGTAGGTAGCAGCAGTGTAAGTCTGAACACAGAACAATACAGAGTTGCTATCAGCAATCACAGAGAGGAATCTTAAATGTGTTTTTGTTGCTATAGAATGGAATGCAACACGAATTATGTCACATAACTACAAAATGTAGCCTTTACCAGGATTCGGGAGGTGGCTTGGAAGAGTAGAAATTGGACAAATAGATATATATTTTATTGAAGAACTTTATTGCACGACAAATGCACATGGTACATTGTATGGCAAACTACATAAAGAGAGTAACAACAATAAAATAAGTGTGTTGAATAAGACCTAATGTCGAATAAAACCTAACATATCTATATCATAATCATTCAAACAATAAGGGATATCACAAGTCTTTGATATAGTGTTACAATCGAGTGGGCTAATCACAAGTTACGGTATTTTTCTCTAATAGCAAAGCATTCCTTTATATATCTACCTATTTTTGCGTTGTGGGGACCGTTACATGTAAAGATATATTCAAATCTGTCTCCAACATCGAGACTCTTAAAATCTATGGTACTTGATTCGAGAAATGTAAATAGCTTGTTACGTATAACATCATATTTGGTACATTCCATAACAACATGAAATTCATTTTCTATATGCTTTGGACAAAATGGACAGAACCTTTGGTCGGGGGCTATATTGTAATATCTACCTGTTTCGATATTCAATTTATGGCTACTGATTCTTAATTGAGTTATTGCTTTACGAATTTCAAAGTTATCTATATCATAGAGGTATGCTTCTTGGTCATAACAGTTTTTTAATTTACTAAGAAAAGACAGCTTAGAATTATTTCTAACGCAACTAAACCACTCTTGTATATGTGTATCTTGTAGCCGGTTGCGAAGATGGTGTGTAATATAATCTGCTTTATAAGCTTCAGGTTTCATCCATATATGTCCAAAGCCGTGGTAGTTGAGAGTGTCTTTAACATGATTAACATGCCGTGCCGGAGTTGGTCCACTACAGAGTACAGTTAGTCACCTGGGTGCAAATTTCTACTCTTTCCAGCCGCCTCCCAAAGCCAGGTACAGTAACAAATGCTCTTCTGATATTTTCTAAAGTATATAGACTGATAAACCATGGGTAACTATACATTGTAGCTCTAGATCTTGTACTCAGATGTCAGGATGTGTTTTAGCATTTTATGTTAAAGATAATAATTTCTAAAAATAAATGCAAAACCAGCATTTTTTATGAAGCAAACTAAGAACATGTTTTGTTTTGACCATGAAAACTTTTTTTCATCAATGAGTTAACTTCATGATCAGTCTTGACAATGATTTCCAAAAGAGAATTTTCAGTTACTTAATAATATCACTCAAGACTGGCTTCACGTACACGTATACATGTAAAATGACCTGACATTTGAGTACAACACAAAGATATGACAAGAAAAATGACAAAACAGACATAACATAATATACTACACACAGTATGATACAACTACAAGAGTGGCAAATAGGCAGGGGCATTGCAAAACCTACCACAGTGACTGCTCCTGATTAAGTTGACCTCTACAGACTCAAGACATGTCTACTATGTTGAAATGCTACATTTAGTAGACATGTTACATGAGCTCAAGCCATACCTATTTATTCAGTTGTGTTTTGGAAAACCAGCTGAATTACTTAGAGTAATTTACAACTTTAAATAGATGAAACTGCAAATACAAACTTAGTAACAAAGAGTTTTAGTTGGAATGGTGTTCATATGAATTTGGAGTAACATTAATGTTTCTGTTCTTAAGTGCTTGAGTTGTGGGGTCTAAATTTCATGTTGAAATACAGTCTCAGTGCTGTGCTATGTTAGACTCAACAAAGAAAGGCAAAGCATTTTGTTGGAGGAAATTCATATTTAGAGGTTAATCTCTACATCTTTAAATACTTACGTTGGATTTCACTTTTATCTCTTCCTCCAACATTCATTCATGAGAACATCAAACAACTAACTAAATGGGTGTGGCTTATTGTGTATTGACCTGCCTCCACAAAAAGATGATAATGCTATGGAACAGTGGTCAGCCCAGAGCAATGTTCACAGCTGGCCTGGATGTCGGGTCAGGTCGAAATGTAACAGGTGATGTTTTTCCTGTTCCTGGTCTAGAAACATGAGAGTCACCTTCTATCTGAATGGACATGGCAGCATATTACAGTCAAACCTGGTCTCTTCATGCAACCCCTCAAGGGGGTGCATGAATAATGGTTTAATAGTGACTTGGGGTTGCTCTACACAAAATGGGTGGAGTCATAAAGTTTTTTTACCACTCAGTATGTGAGCCAAACAAAAACAGAATTTCTATCAGTTCCTCTGTCTCATCTACATGTACCTTTACCATCATCTGTTAATGTTGGGTAATACAGTATCTGTAAATCTAGTTTTCAATCCTCAAGATGATAATAAAAAGTCAACATGTCCATACCAGAAATTCTCAATGTGAACTGGCTTCCGCTTTCAATTTCAGTTGTTGATCGAGTCATGAACTTCCCATGCATGGCAACTGCAAAACACCGGTTGATGACTCATTAAATCGTCTTAACTATATAAAATTGGACAAGACTGTTTCAATGTGGTTTGGTGTTCCAGGTTTGACTGTATCACAAAGAAGAGAGACATGTGGATACTTTTCCACGTACCATCTCCATTCAGATATATTCGTGCACACATCTTGTAGACATATCTACTGGTGTAGATCAATGACTACGCCACACCAATTCTATCAGCAGTTTCTCGAATATCAACTATATCAGAAAAACTGCCGACTCAATTCGTGTGGCCTTACTGCTCATTGTCCACTGATGTTTGTCTGGACAACAAATTTAATGAACATGGGGATGCTGCTCTTGACTTGCTCTTGAGGTGCAGCCTTGACTTCAAACTGGAAGTCGCACAGCGGGCAGCCTGAAGCGATGTTCATGTCAGAGGTGGGGCGCTGAAAGCTGCTGCTGGTTGGATCAGGGCGGAACACGCCACTTTCATTCTCTTGGTCGCTTCGAGCACACATCCCCGTACCATCCCCTTTCAGGTACTGTGGAGCACACATCCCCGTACCATCCCTTTTCAGGAACTCTGGAGCACACATCCCCGTACCATCCCTTTTCAGGTACTCTGGAGCACACATCCCCGTACCATCCCCTTTCAGGTACTCTGGAGCACACATCCCCGTACCATCCCCTTTCAGGTACTCTGGAGCATACATCCCCGTACCATCCCTTTTCAGGTACTCTGGAGCACACATCCCCGTACCATCCCTTTCAGGTACTCTGGAGCACAGTCATCCCCGTACCATCCCCTTTCAGGTACTCTGGAGCACACATCCCCGTACCATCCCCTTTCAGGTACTCTGGAGCACACATCCCCGTACCATCCCCTTTCAGGTACTCTGGAGCACACATCCCCGTACCATCCCCTTTCAGGTACTCTGGAGCACACATCCCCGTACCATCCCCTTTCAGGTACAGTACTTGAGCACACATCTTGTCACCCATACCATCCCCATTCAGGTACATGTACTCTTGAGAACACATCATGCCACCCATACCATCCCCATTCAGGTACACCCTGGCACACATTTTTTTGTAGCCTTTTTGGGACTTGTAGTTGGCCCGGCTGTGCATAGCCTTGTTCTTCCACCTGACATAGTTGTTCGAGCGCTGTGTGCCATCATACATGTAGTCAGCAGTCTCCAGGGCCTGCTGCAGCTGTGTGTACTGAAAAAAAAGACAATACTCCACCTTAGATAAACAACAGTACATTTCATACACAATTGTAAAATCTATTGTAGTTATAAAGTAATATATCAGCTGGGATCTCACTTATTGAGTCAGAGACTAACCTGTTGCCTCAAAGCTGCTATTTCTTCGACCAAAGCCTCCCTTTCCACTTGAGCACTCTCTCTGTCTCTCCTCTCCTTTTCAAAGTCTTCACGGTATGTTGACACCTGTGCCCGAAGATCTTCAATCGTTTGATGCATTTCCGATAAACCAGTGGTGTGGCTGTTGTTTGAAGGACCACAAGGTTGACTCTGAGGTCCTGACTTGGTGGGAGTCTCACCACGAACCTTTAATAGATTAAGTATAAAAGATTTTGAAATAGATTTTGTTAAATGTCCCAAACACATCATACACACAATGTATTTGCAACTGTATCCTAAAACAACATTTATCTATATCAGAGGTGTTTTATCTCTTCATCTTGTGTATTGTTTTAATAATAAAATTATTGTTTTGTCAATTCAATAAAGACAATGTCAAACACACAGTCTATCCCAATGTATATTCAACATTCTTGATAGTATTTCACCTGTAGCCTGAGGGCCTCCGCTTCTTTCTTATAAGACTCTACTTCTGCTCGAAGTCTCTCCCTGTCCCTCCTCTCTGCCTCAAAGTCTTCTCGGTATACTGACAGCTGCATCTGGAGAACTTCCATCTCTATCTGTTCATCCAACAATCCTGTGTCCATCTTTACAAAAATGGTACACAGAAGCATTAGACACAGATGCATTTTAGTTATTGTCATTATGTTTTGGTAAATTGTTCCATGTACTTCCATTGATACATTTTATCTTGTACACAAATAGCGTACATGTACAGTTACCTGTATGAATTTACGGATAAATACACAACTTAATTTGCCATGAATTATTATTGTAATCTTTGACAACCTTCCAAAACCACAGCCTTACCTTCAATACAATGATGATGATGATGACCTGGAACCTTCAATAACAGGCACAGAACAGGGCACCAATGTCATCACGTCCAACCTTAGCTAGCAGATCTGCCAATAGCACGGCGTTGAATGGACCTATCAGATTTTTGTTCTGGAGGTCCTTAAACAACAATCGTGCAATACTAGCTGGACGTAGTTCCAGCTGTTCGTCTGTCAGTGGGTCTGTAAAATCTTGGCACAGACGTCTGATGCGAAGTACCTGGTCCCTAGTCAATCCTTCTTCAGCTTGCAACAGTCGGTCTTGGAAGTCAACTAACCTCTGAGCACTCTCAAGACTCACACTCACAGAGTTAGAGACTCCAACCTGTGCACTGGCCATGTTGCATACTTGCAACTAGTAAATTTACACACCTGAAAACAATGATGAAATAGATTCAACATACAATTGTATCACATGTGTGATGCTAAGAAATGAAAGGAAATGAAACAATTCTTTGCTAATGTTGGTACATAACTTTAAAGTTCATGATCCACAAATTGTGTTCTAGTTGTGGGTTCACAAGTATAATGAATTTAGTTTCAAAAATGTTAAAAATAATCAAACTATCAGTATCAGTATCAACACAACTTTCCTACTACCTGTACTTACTAAACGTAAAAGAACTTTGATCTGTAATGTAGACTACTAGTATTCAATTGATCCCAAATAATATTTCCTAAGGTAAAAATCATCATGCTTGATGTTTTTGCGATGGCAGTCTAAGAATAATTACACACTAATAATTTGCTTGTCGCCCCCCCCCCAGCCACATGAACAAAACAACATTTAAATGAATGTGTCTTTTTACCTTACTTTGCCACTTGTTGTTCTTTTTCAGCAGCGACCAAAGCTGTCCGAGTATCTGAAAGTAGATGTTTGTTCCCTGCTCAGGCAAGATGATTGTTTCTATCAAAGTAAAGTGGCACTAAAACTGTGTATTTGTCACTTCCGCGAATCCTCTCTCTCTTCAAGATGGCGAACATTTAAAAACTGGTGACGTCAGGGAAATCCCCTATTTACGAAAAGCTTCATGGGAAATAACTTGTATGAAAGTGTTCATCCGCAGAAAGTTTGGCTGAAAAATAACGCCAAAAATCGATTTTAAAGTTGAGCTCCAGCATAGATTTAACTTGTCTTGTCAGTAACTATCATATCATGTGACCCATGACACCTGTTCTGGGCTGCAATTCATTAGGCCTCCGCATGGGCATTAGAGTTGCACTGCCAAACGTTATGCATAGGCAAGCTGGGCAGTTAGATGCGATATGGATCCTCCTAATAATATTTGAATGAAATCATAATTTGAGAGACAAAGTGTAAGAAACTAAGAATAACCATGCATAAAACTATCAAACACAGCTCAGAATGTCGTCCAGCGTCTTGTTTTAACAGGTGGTTATTTGCTTTAAATATGAGTTTTAATACTAGTTATGATAGTATCACAGCTCCCGTTTAACTCCGAAATGGACTAACAGTTACATGTATTCCCTTGCAATGATATTTAAGTCCAGATATAACCGCAACGCTTAATCAAACGGAACTTTCTTTTCTGTTTTTTTTTTCTGGTTAAATACAACGTACAATGGCACTGTACTAATCTTCAAGCAGATGTGCGCTGGTTTGGCTTCATGCCAAACGTGGGATTAACATGCATATGGGCGAAGTCATACCGGCAACAACACAGACAGTGGGAAATGGTTTGCCACCTTTCCGCTTTTTTAAGGTGGTCATAAAAGTTTAGACTCACTCGTAAATAAGGCAAACAACTTAAAACTTGTTTGCCTAATTTACGAGTGAGTCTAAACTTTTATGACCACCTTTTCCGCTTTAGCCCCCCCCCCCACTTTCGATCCAGTAGACCCCACACACACACACACACTTGACAGTGACAGTCTACTCCACGTTTCCAGTCATCATCCAAGAAGACAGAACTTTCTACCTTGATAGCGTCCTCCTGATCTCACCATGAAAAATGACGCCCCCATTATTGTAATGGTACAGCCCAATGTACCTGCGCATCATAGCATAAGACCTGTCCCGGGCCTCACATGTCAGGCCACGCGTTCACCAGCTGACATGTCTACCGTACGTTTCCTCGTTTGGGCCATCGACTTTTCCACCAAACAATCTAGAATTACAGATCATACTCAATACAACATAGCCCTGTCATCTACAGGAACGTCTTTTCATTTAGAAGATGCATGAGCTCGGTGTAGTGTAAGCGAAACACAGGCACAATGTTTTGGTTCGGGGGTAGTGAACCGTGTAGGGCGGAGGTCTTTTGATATACTACTTTAGTAAGTATCTAGACACGTCACACGAACGTAAAACATATGGGTAAGAACAATGCAAAAGCAGATGTCAGTGTGCAAGTACTTGGAAATAACCTATGACTCGTGTTTGGTGTTTTGTTCTTAAGTTCTTGGATGTCCGTTATTTCTTTTACTTAGTATTATGATTCACTTTAAAACAAAACAGGTGAATGTTAGTCTTATGTTTTTTTAGACCGTTGACTCACCGTTTAGGCCACAACGAGTAATTTTTATGGATGACGTCCTCTGGAGAACCCTAAATCTAATGCGAGAGCGCAAATAAAAACACAAGAAGGGCCGAAAAAAGCAAGATGCCTAGATTTGAAATATACTAAGGGACGACAAATGTTAGGACATAAACTGAATGAGAGAACACAGTGTAACAACAAAAAAGTCTTTTAATCGCCAAGAAAACAGCGATAAATCAGTTGAACAGCAGTTGTCGTCCTGTCCTGTTTCTTTCCTTTCATCACATCTTCCCTTATTCCACTGTCGTGACTGTTTGATCATAGTTACAAGAAGCGAAATTTCTTTTTTTTTTTCTGGGAACAGGCCAAAATCAATGTGCGTGCGAACGCCATCCATAAAAATTACTTGGTGTCGCCTTATCAAAATGCAAAGCTCCAGATATATCACGACTACCGAAGTAACAAGAATCCGTAATTAGAAGTGTGCACTTATCACCTCCTGACTAGTGATTAAAGTTGCGCTTCTTTAATCGTCATTTGCGTCATTATTGGTGTTGTTACGTCGTATTACTGTCATTGTTCGGTAATTGTCAGCTTTTAGACCATTCATTTGTCATGTCCGTCGGAGGCGAAAGAAATGGATTAGTGGGTTAAAATGATAGACTGGGCTTTAGTACCTTTCAGAGATACTTGCGAATGGTCATTGGTCAAGAGCTTGGCAATTATGTTCAATGACTTGCGATATATCAATGATTATTCATAAAGTGAGTGCGCATGCTCGTCCCTGGTTTAGCAATGACTACTAGTAGTTTTTTAGTTAAATTCCGAAACAAAAATTATAATAACAATAAAGAGTATCTGTTTCAAACTTTCAACAACATTACACCATATAAGCGTACGAATTCAAAAGATAACTTTGTTTATAGTCTTTCCCAAAATGATGACACATGAAAGAATCAAGAAAAATAAATCAACCGTTTTTCCTTGGTTTGAATTCAGAGATGACTGTGTATGATTTTTTTATCAACAAACAAGAAAAGAAATGCCAGACAGCGATGGCGACGCACTTGAGTCAATAAAACTTATATAAGCGGCGCCATGGAACATAAAAATGATTACCAAAAATATTATACTACGTAGAAACAACAAATAAATGCATACTATCTCAGCACACAATGTAATTAAGGCAGTCAAAATGGGATGAAATTAAACATTACTAAACGCAGTGTATGATGTCACCGGGAAACAAATCCTGGGGGAAATCTAAGTTATCATAGAATATTAACTATAATTTTTTCTTGATGATAATACCATTCGTACTTTTGCTAACATAGGAAAGAAGATGACTGAAAACGACTAGTTGACTCCGGGTTGCCTGCAATATATAGTGATTCGCAGCAGCCGGTCACATGACGTGTCTACTGTTCGGAAACAGACCCGAATGCTGAGTGCGTCATATGTTCTGGCAGAGCGCCCGGGCCTGAAGCGCGCCTTCTGGGACACACAGACCTATACCAGCTTTGTTGACCCGGCAGTATTATAATCCTCACGTGATTGGCCTGACTCAACCGGCTACGTAACGGCTCAGCTGAGGACAGGAAGGCAGCCAGTGTTTACATCGCGGCCGGCCATAACAGACCGGGGGAACCGAGCGAGAGACCGAGAGAAATAACCGACCGCTGCCATTGAAATCGCGCCGTGCCATCCATAGCCATTGTACCTGAGGGATTTGGCGGGGAATCAAGCTCAACTATAACCCCAGGTGAGCGCCAGTTTCTTCTCACACCTGCGTGTATTGTCTGGGGAGACGTGACAAAGGTAGAAAGCAACGGGGAGCTCTAGAGTCGTCCCTATGTATATGTGTATGTATGGCGCCTACACAAAATGTGGGGGAAAGGTAGGGTTTTTCTATGGCCTTCTATTCTTACAATCGGGTGATACTTTGGTTGATATACATGACACAGTCGTTGCGTGTCAGCTGGCAACTTATTATTCATCCTGCCGGGGGGATTTATTTTGAAAATCGATGTTATAGGCACACGCGTGTGTGTCCCAGAATATAGAGTAGTCCGCCGAATCCTTTGTCTCGCATAGCCGGTTTCCACGTTGGAACCAGGCTAGTGTATGTGTGTTTCTTTCTTTTCTGTTCTATGCGGGCTAAATTTGACACAACATTTGCTGTGCGGGTTCGCGAAGGACGTACGTTGTGTGCCATGGTAAGTAACCCCCACGCAGAATTATATTTCGTCCGTGAACGTTTCTAATCAGGTGGCAAGTGACTGTAGCGGTAGAGAAGTCACGCAATGATATACCGTTGCGCAGGCAGGTCGCCTGTCCCGTTTAGCGCGCTGCTAGAGGGTCTTGCGCAACAATAACAAAGAACCGTGCGGCGGGCCCACGTCTCAAGGTTGGGCTGGCTAGTGAACAGTTTTATCACCGTAAATGGAGTGATTTTTGGCTCGCCCTGTGCGGTCAGAACTGTCCCCATATCCCGGTCAGAGCCGAACAACAGTACGTAGGGGTTCTCTCATACATTTTTAATCGTATAGGTGGTACCACAACCTTGTCCTAAAACGGGAGGAAATCTTAACCGGGAGACCAGCACGGAATAGCAATTGAGTTAATTGGCCTGCCTCGACTGTTATAAACTAAACATTTTATGTCAATTGGAAGCCATATACAACGTTAGGCCATATTTGATGTATTATCCAACGAATACTTTATAGTAAGCCCTTGTCAGTATTGTTTTTATTCCTTCTTGGCGCCAAAACAAATACCACACCTGAAAATAGACCGTTCTTTCAGGTGAAAAATGCAGTGTAACGTCCCGCTTATTGCGCTATATCCATTCTTTTACCACAATACAAACTGCGTCACAGCGAATAACGCCCAAAGCGTGTATTTTTTCCTAAGACCAGATAAACACCGTATTTAATTGGCGCCCTTTTTCTTCCCCTATACCTCGTGGCCGACAGGAAGTAAATAAAAGAGTCACCTGACCATGACGTCATTTGGTAATTTTCCAACCTCTTGATTGGGGCCTGCATGCCCTTTTTCGTAAGGCGTAATGGGGCCCTTTTAGTCTTCGTAAGCCGTAGGCATCCTCCGCAAAAATCAACTTAATTCGTAATACTGTAAGGTACATTAGCCGCAAAGCGTTAAGTCGTAATCAGCTCTGAGAATTGAACGTAATTCGTAATCGGCAGCGAAAATTTGGCGTAATTCGTAATCCCCACTCCCCCATGCAGGCCCTCCTTGCTAACTGTGCCGATAGCTGATATCCTCTGGGTTTCTGTAAAGTGATAGCTCACACAGGAAATCGACACGTGTTTTAATAGAGATTTCTGGTGAAACAAAACATTTGTCTGTGGGATATTATATACATGTATCCTCGCTGGGTGAATGAAAATATATAAAGGCGCTGGCCTCCAGGCGGTTCCGATGGAAGTATTTTTTTCGCCCGCAGATTTCCTGTGTTTGGGGGGAAAATATGTGTTTGAAAAATGAAAAACGTCATTCGGCCCATACCCTAGCAGGATGTGTCTGGTTGGAAACACGCCTCAGAATCCCAAGAAGATGTAAGTTTTAATATTTCCAAGTAAAGGGTCGCAACCCTTAAATGGTCCAAGAGGTCTCGAGTTCGAATCCTGCCATGCCACCGATCTTGTCCCCATTTGAAAGGCACTTTACACGAATTTCCTCACTTTACTCAGGTGCAGAGTGAGAGTATGCCTGTTGTCCGTTCATGCGTTTGTCTGCGTTGGTGCTGCATAAACTAAGTTGAAAAATTATTGACATATCTTGTGAAAAATGTTGGAATAGAAAAAAAACTTTTATAAACTCGAATATGTGCAATGAAGACGTCCCATACTAGTAAGTATACACGAAAAGTATGTAAGAAGCGTTGAACAAAAACGCTATAACACGTATAGAGATGGTACCATGTACGTCGTGGCACAGCTGAGCTACATGACAAAGGGAAGATATCTATACGTCGCAAAGATGAAACGAACAAAGAAACAAAGGTGGTCGACTTGCAATGTGGCAACAAGAAGAAAGGACTTCCACGTGTGAACGCTATATATACACCTTGATACTAATACCTACTCATAAAGATTAAAAAAACTGTTAGAAAGAAGAAAGAGGGAAAAGAAAAATGTGGACAGGTGAATCAATAGATAGGTGTTTGTTTTCTTCTCGTCTCTTTGTTCTCTATATACAAGTATACAACCCCCCTATCTTGGGAGAACGAATGGTTTCTTCCGCTTTGTCCTCAGTAGAAATGCCCTGAAGGACATTTGCTATTGTACACGTGTGGTGGGTTTAGCCCGATTTAGTAACAGCTGGTAGAAACAAGCTTGGCATAGGGTTCTTCCCCTTAAAAAGGGGGATATCTCGTTTTCATCAACTCAAACAGCAACAAATCTGTAAAATTGCAGCTACTTGACAAAGGGGATGGGGGTCAAACGTATTTGCGTGACTCAAGAGAAGATTTGCAGGCGTCGGTCCATGCCCGTAGTTGGTGTTTTGTATCGCTGAAAGGATTCGGCTGTTTACTTCGAGCAAGCCGTCGGCCTTGGAGAGAAAGCCGTGTGTTTTCAAACCCACTGTGATGCCGTGTCAGCACTCTCAAGAGAGCAAATCGGCATCCTATCCGATAGTGCTATTGAGTATCTGCTACTTAATGGATTACCGTACTTTCATCTAAAACCAACTCTCAAATACTCATGTTTACACAACTATATCTTTCTGAAACTAAGCGATTTAACAACTGAATTTATACTTATACTGTATTCATTTATAATATCTTAATAGCTAAACTCTGTTCTCTTGTTAGCTGGACGATACCCATGTTTTGTGATGTAATTTTTATTTCATGTCTAGTGGTGACGTGAATATAAGCATTTTGCTTGATCATGAGTGCGTCACCACTATGGTGTGTATTTTTGCATGTTGAAATAAAAAAATCGGCATCGTTGTCTTTCATTCAATCAAAGCGCAGATAAAAGTACTATCTCGAGTTTTTCTTTTTTTTCTTTTTTTTATGCGCGTGAGAAGTCACTAGCACTGGTGCATGCTAATCGCGTGACTTTGTGCGGCAATCAAAATATGGCCACATGCCTTTGTAGCGATTACCTGACTCAACGGATGGAAACAGAGCCATGAAACGGCCGTTTGCTTGTGTAGATAAAGATAAGAATCACGCCTCGCCATCAGTAGTTTTCAGTCTGTGCCATACGTATAATTAGAGTTATCTTACCCTGACTGAGTGGTAATGAGTGTTATTTATATAGTGAAGCGGCAGCTAGCCTAGTGACGACTTCCATGTTCCTTTTTATAGCGTTATAATGAAATAATGAAATGACGTGTACAGGATATGCGTTTGGAAAAAAAAAAGACAAAATTTCTCCATAGAACACATGTTGACTTTGTATTAGCAAGGCGCTTCAAAATAACGTCCTTTGTATTAGCTATGGTTGGATAAAGGCGTTATAAAACAGAATAGGGACTGTTTTCCACGAATACAGTGTTATGAACACCTGGTGAAAAATCAACACAGTGAGTCATCCTCACATGGGGTACGGGCAGCTTGCCAACATTGTTTGAAGAGGTCATCATGAATTCTTGCCTTCTAAGTTGTCCTATTGTTCATTATTGCACGGACAATACACCGCCATCACACATATGTTACGTTAGTACACCCCTCTATCTATGTCGTATTGGTATCGCCTGTAAACAGGTGCACAGAGAAACAAAACATAGCGGCAAACCACATCGTCATAGATCACACTTCCCCCCTCCCCACTATTCCATATGATGTCATCTCCGTAATTGTGGTTCTACGTGCGTAAACGTAGCGTCAGATTCTGCTTTATGACATTCACATATGGGCTGATCGACATTGAGCCAGACATTTGGCTCCTGTCTCGTGCCTGCCCTCGGGTTTGCGTTTTTTTTGTTGTTATTCGGGGTTGCTGAGTCGGCATTTTAGAAACCCTTTGTCAAGTGTGCAGTCAAAAAACAATCGTTGTACTTGTTTGACGGCCCTCTAGACTAGTTGTTAATATTCCTTGGGCTTAGGAAATCAAATGTTGTGTTTCTTGTTTCCCGACCGACCTTAGAAAAACTGCCGACCCTAACGTTTTGTATGGCCCCTGCAAGGTATTAAATTTTAGGAGCTGATCGGCTCAGCTTCATGATCCGACAACTGAGTGATGAAACGTGGTACAATCGAGTTTCCAACATTGACATTGAAAATTGAAGAGTGCAAGTTTTACCATGTTAAGCTGTATTGTATAAGTTGAATTACTAGAGACAGCCAAAGTCTTTAACAAAAAGATAACCCCGTACCTAACGATCCTATTTTTCCATCAGGACTGAAACAAGAAACACACAATTTTTTTCCTCGGCCTTGTCAATCGCAATGTGTACGTTACAGTAGTCCATGGAATACGTTAGCTGACTTCGAATGGCCTTCACATTCAGAGAGAGCGAGTAGAGAATATTTATTGCACTGGCAAGGATTGCGATCAGTATCTGTATTGCAAACGACTCTCTTGGTTAATAGGGAGGCCTGCAAGACTTTGTCGCCGACATCCAAAGCATTTCGTGTTGACAACTATCGCGCGAAACAAGCAGGCTTCTGTGAACCGTAACAACATTCTGCGCAAACAACAAGTCACGTCTTTGACAGAAAAGATAAACGACTCTGTGGAACCATACATAAACATCTGCACTTGTTTCTGCTCTCAAATGCCTGTATAATTCCCTCTCTTCCCGTTTGCGTAAATTTAACGGAGTCGCGACAAGTGTTGTCCTTAAAATTGCGAGATTTATCGCTTCTTTAAGAGATGATAAGTATCATTAGAAGGTGCTCACAGGTGTTCTGTTAATCCTCGTCCCGTAACCCTTCAGGGGAGATCCGGAAACTTCCGTGTTCCCGCCCCCATAGGTCATAAATATTGCTTACTACTATCTTATTATTTCTCTTGTCCATTATATATATCCTTTGTGGGAACATCGCGGTATGGCTAGTGCATTTCATGTTCAAACTCAGCATAGAAGAAATCATCTTAAAATCGCGATTTTTTTGTAATTTTCGCCCATCTTACTATTTGGGCCTTTTATTTCGCTTTTTGTTCTATTTTTTGTCAATTACAATTAGCAGTTCAGCCAATGATAGCATGGCGCTATGTGGGTCTTTTATTTCGTTCTTCTCTTTTGTTTTGTCAATTACAATTAGCAGTTCAGCCAATGATAGCACGCCAATGAGAGAGCGACTGCATGTAGGTGTGCACTTGTATGTTTTTACTTGCCAGTGGCCTTTTCACGTTTTGGAAGAGGTGGACAGAGCTATAGGTCTTTACTGACGATCTCATTTTTCTTCTTTTGTGATTTTTCTGTCCAGAACATTCCGCTGCGGTGACAAGTGAACCGTCCCCGTGGCTACACCAGACCACACCGTTGACAGTTGGAGGAGAAAGGGGAGGAGTCAGCGAGTCTCAGGTAACGGATGTTGTGATTCGCCTGGGGTCCTGTCCGGCCGGGGAGGACGACCTTTATCTGACCTTCGCCCGAGCGCGGGAAACATGTACATGTAGTTCTTACATCGCGGCTTCTCAGATGTTAGGGAACGACCGCTAGTGGTTACAGCGACGACTAGTGGTTACAAGCTTATGCCTAGGAAAAATGTTCTGTTTCCTGTTTCCCGACCGACCCTAGAAAAAACTGTCGACCCTAGCCTTTTTTTGTGTGTGTGAACCCCTGCATGGCAGATTTTTGCGAGCTGATTGACCTTTTCTAGCTACATGATCTGACACCTGAGAGTTGAAACGTTTAACAATAGTTTTTCCGACATTGACATTGAAAATATAAGTCTCCTCATGCAAGTTAACCAACTTATACAACTGTATTGTAATTAAGTTGGTTCGATCACTAGAGATCGCCAAGGTCTAAAAAAATATCCCTGCCTACCGAAACAATTTTTTAAGGACTGAAACAGGAAACACAACATTTTTTTCCTATGCCGATGAAGTTAATTTTAGGCTCCATGGTGAGAAGTATCAAGGGGAGAACCTTGCACTCGGAGAAGAGATCGGAAAGAGTGTTTTCAGGAATGGTCCTTCCCCGATGTGCCTTTGTCGGCTAGCCAGTCAGTATGGAAAGATGATCCAGTACTCTGTTGTGATGTTTCTGCCGTGTATTGTGTGGCAATGATTAATCGTCAGACCTGTCTAGCACCTGTTTGTGGTTACCTTGGCTTCGGCTATTTTAGATCCTTTTGCGGCTGACTTGCGTGTGAAGGACTTCACAGTTTTGTTGATGGAGAAACAAGTAATTTTAACTTTCATCCAGACACACCGATCAACAGGTACATGTAGTGGTAGATCAGTGATGGGCGAATGATCTAATATCTGCAATAGGTTTGTGACATTTTTAATGTTTACCTAGCTCGCAGAGGGAAAACGTGTTGTTTTTGCTCTGAAAACGTATTGTTTTTCGAATTTCCTCTTCTTCTTCTTCTCCTCCAAACAAATAAGATCAGATGGTCGTCACCATAGTAACTAGTGCTGTAGTAGGCACCCTGTTTTACATTATGTAGCAAGAGGCAGTACAGAGTTGGAGGGGCTGGTCACCATATATATGAATGTGTTTGTGTAAGAATTAACAGAACAGTATTTTCTTTACTCTAGACCATGTGAAGGAAATCATTTATATATATATGCATTTGCTTTGCATATATCACCCTTCTAGTTTCAAATTAATTTTTTTTCAATATATGTACAACAAAATTAGTTGTAGCTCTGACAGGGACCTAGGAATGAAATGTGATACTTGTGATAAATCTATATGTCGTGAAAGATGAGACGGGAGTCAGGAGAGGTCATCAATATATTATATCAGCCCTGAGGCTACAGCATTAGGCACACCCACTTTGAGACAGGTAGATGTTATCATATCAACTGAACTGAACACTGAGATGTTATCATACGCGTTTAGTCCTTGGGACGAGCCACGCTTCGCTTTGTAATAATAATGGTCTCTCCCTTTTTGTGTTTGCAAAACTATTGTTTGTTTTACCTAGCGTTAGATAAGTTGTTTGTCAAGCCTATATAAGAAAACGTACATTGTCATCCGCAATCCTACAACGACTGCCCGTTATGAGGTGACAGTTGAAAGGTTATATTACACTTAATTCCAAATAGAACGACCGACACAGGGCTCGAAATCAACGGTGTCCCGATGGCCAGTGACAACTGAAATGCTGGGACAACTAAAAAGACAATTTGGGACATTTTTGGGACAATAGAAAAATAATCAACATCAGAATGTCAGCCCTTCTTTTGTTTGACAGAAATTATAGCGCGCCTGGAAGTCAGTTCACTTCCTGAAAAACAGGCTGGGACAGTTCATCCGGGATCCTCACTTCGGGGCAATTGAATTTTATTTTCGCGACAGTGTTGGGACAATAGGAAAAATAGTTGATTTTGAGGCCTGCGACAGAAAATCCAGGTCTTAACATTTGCAAGGCATCACCAGGCAGCAAGGTTTGCTATGAACTTGGTTCTTTGTTTATTGAAGTGGGACTGTGTGACAGTTGCTACGATACAGGTGTTTCGATGGAACCAAGCCAACTGGCAGAAAGGTCCTTCTCATAGCAGGAGGTATAGTATATTGTTAGGTCTACTGTGCCTCGACGTTGGCCTCTCAAAACCCGCACAGAAATTCTCCATCATGTTTACCAAGGCTGTCAGGACTCTTGTAAGGAATGCGAAATATTCGGAGCCTTAGATTCAGAAAGTGTCAACGGACGACATCGATAGTACATTTTTACACAGCACGGTTTCAGAGACTTCCTTGAAAGTCTTGAAATTGCGGTATTTTTGGACTTGGCTTTCAAAAGGCTTTCAAAAGGCTTAGCTGTTCAGCTTCAGAAAGCTCTCTTGCCATCCCTGCAGGAATTCTTACGGTCGCCGCTTCGAGATGTCATCAGCAGCCACGGAAAGTGAAGCGAGGTGGAAGAACAACACAATGTACCGCTTGGCGCCTAAACATTACCCGCATTATGTATTAAATCGCCGCATTATTACATTACATATTACATGAGAACATTGTGAGAAAATTGCAAGGTGCAGAAATCTATTTCCCCGTCTTTTCAGAGCTTACTGGTTCTGAGAACTTAATGCCTAGTTACTATGCATACGCACGTGCTTCTTGAGTATAAACCAGGAGGATTGACTATAAACTGTAAACACATTTCAGCAGTACTTACCTGTACAGCGTGATAGAATGTAGTAATCCTAACGGCATGAATATTTAAAGCAGGTATGTTATTGTAGGGATGACCCCGAGTGGCCTCTGCTGGAGGCTCATGTCTTTGCGTGCAAGAGGATTAAACAAACCATCGGGCGTGCTTTTTTTCTGAGAAGTTAAAAATGAGGGAGCAAAGTCACTATTTTAAACTGGACCAACTACGGTCATTTCTGAAATCCATCATGAAAGTTCATCTGTGTTGGTAGATGCATGCTTAAAGTTAAAACTTTTATTCCACACAAACGGTAAAATGTTCACAAGCTCCAGCTTTCAACCAGTCACTCTTGTCTTACTCAACAGACCCTTCTGAGATCTGTGTATCCGTTACAATTTTTTACTTGCCTTATGTTCCTTTTTAAATCTATGTCAGTTCTGATGCCTGATAGCAAAGTTAAGATAGGTTAAAGGGCTGAAGGGACAGTGATTATGGCACTGTATCGGAAGGTGGAGCCCATCCCTCTTCATCTACCGTCTTTTACCTCCCCAACCGATGTCAGGTACTCATTTTACATCTGGGTGGAGTGAGGAAAGTTGTGTGAAGGGCCTTCCAATGACACAAGGGTATCTTGTTTTGTGTTGGCATAAAAAAGATACCAGTGCAAGCAAGAAAACCCGATAAAAATGCCTACAACGCCCAAAGCTCAAACATCTGCTCGGAGAGTAAAAAAGTATGACCTTGAGCGGTAGCGGTTTCACAGTCGTTAATTTGTCTAACCAGACAGTTCACCACGTAACCAACGCATCTTGAACCATTTAGTTTGCACCGCTGGAAGGTTGGGGATAAACTTTAACGATCAATTATAGACCGTGAGGACTGGAGGTTTGGCATCAAGGCGGCGACAGCGGTGTCTGAAGTTGTCATAACAAATAGCAGATCATTTGGAAAGAACGGTTGCATATCTGACGTGACAAAAATTCCACGGATATTCTAAAACGTTACCACGATCTTTCCTGGTTCGTTTCGTCGCGTGATTGGTCAGTTCTCAACCAATCAGGACGCCAAACCTGTCATACGTCATCGACCCTTCCGTGTGGCATTGGGTACCCTCCATTAAGCTTATTACAATCTCATTATATTTCTCAGGGTCAAAAAAGAGTCCATGGATATTTTAAATCTTTACCGCGATCCTCCCTGGTTCATATCGTCGCGTGATTGGCCAATTCCCAACCAATCAGGACGCCAAACTTGTCATACGTCATCCAGCACTCCGTGTGCCACTGGGAACTTTCCATTAACCGTTAATTCATTACAATCTCATTATATTTCTCAGGGTCGAAAAAGAGTCCACGGATACTCTAAGTCATTACCGCAACCCTTCCTGGTTCATTTCTTCGCGTGATTGGCCAGTTCCCATCCGGAGTATTCCGTGTGGCATTTGGCACTATCCATTAACCGTTAACTCATTACAAGAATACAATCTCATTATATCTTTTCAGGGTCGAAAAAGAGTCGTTTTCCGTGACCGCGCACCGCGGGCCAGCGATGGCAACAGGCCCAGCTCCCGCCCCCGAGCAAGTGGCGGCGCCCCCGGACTCTCGCGAGACTGTTGGCAACATCACGACCTTCGTCAGCGGCATGACCAAATTCCACAACAACCCGGACCTCAGCGACATCGTGCTAAGGTATTACAGAACTTTTATCTCATATGTACCTTCGCTAGAATGCCCCTTTTTTAGTCAGAAAAGGCTGGCATTGGATGGAGAATATGATCAACTGATATTCATGCAAAAGAGGACTTCACTTCCATAAACAGAAACATTTATAATTCCTCAGTTGTAAAGGTTAACACCATTTGGCGAAGGTATGAAATCGTGGAACTCTAGGTAAAATTGCAGTAGCCCTACATTATGTATTCATAAACATTTACCATTTGTACCTTTTTGTAAATGCATTTCTTGACATTACGTTTCAGTTTCCATTCTTCAGTATATTGGCGATTTGATTTTTTCCCATAGGTCACAAAGTAAAGACCCATTTCTTCCTAGAATAGGTTATGGATGTCTTGTCATCGTTTTGTTTTCCAGAGTGGGACCAAATGTGTACTACGCTCACAAGTTCGCGCTGGCGCGTTCCAGCGACGTCTTTCACACCATGTTGGCCGGCCAACTCTGGGAAGACTCCAAAAAGTCAGAAATCGTCCTCAAGGAGTCCAGCGCGTGCGAGGAAGTCTTCGGCGAATTCCTTAAGTACTTTTACTGCGGGCAGGTGACCTTGGAGATAGACACTGCCGTCCCCTTATTACTTCTTGGAGACAAGTATAACGTGGAGTCTATAAGGACAGAGTGTGAGAAGTTTATGAGGAGAAAGGTACAGGGTGGCAACGCACGCGCCGCTGTCATGTACATGCACTACGCTAGGATGTACGGCTTCGAAGAGTTGGAGGAAAAATGCTTCGACGCCATCTCTAGAAAGTTCGAGAGCGCCGTGGCCATGCCGGAGTGGTTGGAGCTGGACGTGCAATACGTAGGGGAGCTTCTACAGTGCACCACGCTGATCGTGGAGAACGAGTTCGCAGTGTTCAAGGCGATGCAGGACTGGGTGTTGGCGGAGTACAGGGAGGCCCAGGCCGGGGAGAACTTGATCAGGCTCCTGCCGCACGTCAGGTTCTCCCAGATGCTCCCACAGCAGTTGGTCAACGTGGAGCGGTCCGTCATCGGCCAGAAGTTCCCGCTTCTCCTCAGCCCCTTCATCAACGAAGCCTACCGGTTCCGGTCACTGGCGGGGCAGGTGAGCCCAACCACAAATCCCGTACATGAGCGCACATGGCGACTTTTGATAAAACTGCAGTAGGTGGCACTTCGATATGGGGATGCCCAACGCCTATAAGGCTACATCCAGTAAATTTTATGGATGATATCCTCTGCAGACTCCAAATCCTCTGCAGACTCCTACATCTTCACTATTGTCTGACAGAAAACGTTTTTTGTATCGTCTGCTCTAGGTGGGCGGTTTCCATGACAACAAGTTCCTGCCACGTGACTACACGGCCAAAGAGTGGTGCACGTTCCTGAGGCTGCAGCTGTCCGACATCCGCCGCTTCCAGCACAACGTCAGGACCATCAGCCTGGACTCACCCGTGCCCAACGAGGTACGTACCGTGGGTTTTCTATTGTTTTAGGCGTATTCAGGTGAATGGACAGACCTTATCAGCATTTGTACATGTACACTGTAATAGAGTGTATCAGAATACAATACAGTACAAAACATATTTATGATGTACAACACCCACACAGAAGCATGCCTGTCCCTGGTGCTGAACACCACTCACACACAGGTAAACCTGTCCTTGGTGCTGAACACCATCCACACACACAGGCAAGTATGGTTGTCCAAGATGATGAACATCATCCACACACAGGCAAACATGCCTGTCCGTGGTGCTGAACACCACCGTCCATACACAGGTAAACATGCCTGTCTGTGGTGCTGAACGCCATCCACACACAGGTAAACATATCTGTCCCTGGTGCTGAACACCATACACACAGGTCAACATGTCTGTCCCTGGTGCTGAACGCCATCCATGCAAAAGTAAGCTCACAATTCCCTGGTACTGAAAACCATCCACGCAGAGGTAAACGCATTTGTCTCGGATGAATGTATGCTTTGCCTGACGCAGGGAGTATACACTGTACCTTACAAAGGTTTCTGTCCCAGACACAAGTCAACGTTTGTCTGCTTTGTTCTTGTCCACGTGCCACGTTAATCATTTTATAGTGATTGTAACGATCTCTATTTGACAGGTTCATTCCGAAGATTACATGTGGAACATCGCCTTCCAACTGAACTACATCGGCAAGCGCTTCCGCTCCGGGCTGGGCAGTAACGCCACCTTACACAAGTACGAGTGCCTGGCCATCAAGCTCACCCCGCTCAAGATCTGCCCGCGCGACCGCAGCTTCGAGATCTCGCTCCTGGTGTACGACCGGGACGTCAACGTGGCTCAGATCATCCGGCGGTCCGCCACGGTCAAGGCCACCCAGGCCACGCACCGGGAGAGCTACGCCATCCAGGCCGCCACGGGCTTCCGCTTCGGCATGCCGTCCTTCGGCCAGCAGGACTCCGTCACCGTGGAGCAGTTCTTTCCGAGGAGGAACGAGCTCGGGCCGGACTCGGCGTACGTGAAGGAGGGAGCCGATCAACGTAGCCGTCATCATCAAGCCACACGTGGAGTGAACCGTGCTCGTGCAGCAATGTACGGTGACGTGCTTTCAATGCAATTTCAGGGCGGAAAAAGCTGGATTTTCAAAATCAAGTTTCTGCTGATTCAAAATCAATTGAATCAACCCTATCCCAAAATATTCTAATATCTGTGAGGCAAAAATGCTATGTCGCTGACGGAAAACGGTTGCTTGTTTTTAATCGTAGGCTGAATCTTGTTTGTGTGTATATTGGTGGTACCCAAGAAAATAAAGAGACGCCTCACGAAGACTGTGTTGAGGCTATTTGAGAAACTCTTCAAGTATGAAATGATGACGAAAATGTGCTAAGAAATGGCAGTAAATGCTAATATCAGATTTCTTCACCCAGAATATTTATTTTGGCCCCTTGAAATTGCATTTGATGCCTTAAATCTCCAAACTTCTATCTCTCATGATTTTTTTCGAAACTAATTTTATTTCTGTTATTATTTGTTTGTTTGTTTGTTTGTTTGTATATATCAAACCAAGATAAGAAGTCACGAAGTTATATATAATAGGCCCAACGGCCATCTCAATAGTGTACAATACTTTACAAAAAGGCAAAACATTCTGCAATGCTCTTCAATGCAATATACTAATATGAAGTATGGTTACTTGCTTGGGGCTCTATGATCTATCATTGTGATATTTCTGAATGAAGTCCAAGATCAAAGAGCCCCTTTCAGATGCAAGTCTAGAGTGAGATCAAGTGTTGTCAATAGATAGAGATTATGTGTTTTGGAAAGGGTACTTTGGCATGTGGCATTGACGAGAGAATGCATGGGCCGTTTCAGTGTTATTTGTAGCGTCGTTAGAGTGTCAAAGGACCACATTCCTAACGTATAGGTCCTTGAAAGTTGAGTTTGTTTGTGTTTTCCTGATTATGTTGAGGATTGAAGGTGGACCAAAGCTGCGTGTAGATATACATACACGATTGGAGAATGACATTGTTTTGAGTATCACGATGATGTGTTAGGTTGACGTCTCGCTTTTGACGAATTTCAGACTCAGGTGATTTGATGACGGAATCATGTTGATCTTCGACGAAGTGAGGCACACAATTTGAGATAGCGGCGACCTCTTTTCATTCAAATTACTCAAGAAGCATTTGAAAGCAGTTAAGATATACTACCCTCTAGAGAACTTATGACAACAACAAAACAACAAAAATAACAACAAAAAATCACAATGTCTACTAATGATTGTTGGATTGTGAACCCATTCGTCCAAGATCATTTGATAAGTCGTTCACAATCTACAGTATCTCGGAACCAGGCCAAAGGTGCTACCCAAAGTCCCTGCCCAGTGTTCATTTTGTAAAGTTCTGATCATTCATGATCTATATGTATATATATCATTCATATGTATCCTGTAAGTCAAAAATGTTGATTTGTATTATTGTGTAGTGTGTTTGACAAAGTTAGACGTGGACTTTCTGTAAGTCGAAAGCTTGGGATGGTGTTCTTCTCACAATATAACGCGACGAAAGTCTTGTAGGTAAAAGAGCTTCAGGATATTCGAGCAATAAGCAACGCTCTGACTATTGCTTTTTAAGCGTAGCGCTTACAGCAGTTTTCTTTCAGCTCTGCTACATTTGCGATACGTGAGCTCAGTACTTCTAAAGAGAAGTACTAGTTTTCCGTTTATCTCATGCTGGCAGCGACCTGGAGGTCGGTTTTGTTGTTGTAAGGCCACATCAATTTAATTTGTCGGTTCCCGGATTTTTTTTTTCAGAAAAAATATGAAGCGACAGTGCAAAAAAATTAAATTAAAAACAGGTCTAGGCTTCCTATTATAGCCCCAAATGCTACGATAGGAGCCATGAAGTCAACACAAAGGGCTGGGTTAATATTTCAATAATGAATTTTGAACTTTTAATCAAACCGTTGCATTGATAGATGGAAAAACTGTAACAACTAGGAAGAAAAGGACTTTACTGTTGGGGGCAAAATATGAGCATATGTGAGTTGATTCAGAACCAGAATCTTTTTTTTCTTGCAAATCAGAAAAAAATCCAAGAACCAACAAATTAAATTCGTGTGGCCTAATGTACATTGTTCTCGCGCGAGAAAAGGCGAGATGAACGTTGACAGTACCTCACGCAAGATCTCACGAGAACATTCGTGACATTTTGTATAGGACCATAGCCTTGCTTGACAATTAATTAATCATTCCACTTCGTTCCTTTCCTTTGACCAGTCTTTGCGAAATGTAACGTTACCTGCTTTGAAAGGCTTAGATCTGATTGTGGACTAACCACTAGCACTATTAAAGTCTGCGCTGTCACTGCACACGGCTCTGCAAATGCATTATACTGGCACAGCTTTCACTGCATAGTTTAAACCAATGTGGATTTGCATTTTAGAGAAAACCTGTACAAATCTTTTAGCAATACACATGATGGTGACCAACATTTTGCATTGTATTTATTCTGAATATTGTATCATAGTATTGACTCTTTGTATATTGTATTATCATATTGAAACATAGTCACTATGTCCAGTACGCATACCGGAAGGACACTAACTTTGTAATTTACTCCAGTGTAAAAGATGTATTGGTACGTTGACAAGATTTGTTGTAGGAGTGACGACATGTAGCAGTAATAACGTGATAGTCGTGTATGAACACGTGATGGTCCTGGTTGATCACGTGATACTGTTTGATTTCTGAAAAGCCAAGTCATACTGGGGAGGGGGGCACACATGTCCTGAGGACTTGTATATTTGATTTATCATAGGACCACATCCCCCTTGTTATTTTGCCATTCCCCTTGTTATTTTGTTTTACACCATATAGCGTGGGTAGAATGTTTTACGTTGTAGAGAGCCGGCGTATAAACGTAAACAAAGGGTCTGCAAAATTTTGTTCACGTACAGTTGTACATTCAAATCAAAACCATAACCCCTGTATTAGTCAGGCTATATATTTCACATTGTTCATCTTGTAGTTTTGCATGTATAAAGCGGTTGTCGACATGTTAGACACTGTCTGTGTTAATGTGCTGCTAAAGAGCCTTCTTTTGAACGTCTGGATTGTTAGTCTGTGAGACAGATTTGACACATGAGATGACACGTTATGTATAATGTAGGAATATAGTGTAATACATGTTTCTTACCTTCTCCGAAGAAGACGATGTACGTTCGTATACCAGAGACTGTGTCGTTTCCATTTCAAATATAGTGCCGTACATTGTTCTCACGCGAGAAAACGCGAGATTAACGTTGGAAGCAGTAACTCACGCGAGATCTCACGAGAACAGATGTGACATATGGAATCACGAAATTGATGATCACGGTTTGATGTACTGGCGTGCCATGATCTTTTTACAGGAACTCTTAATATATATGCTGCGTGGTGCACAATCATGTGCAAATAAGTGTGTGTGTAATGAATGAACAATGTTGTCGTGGTGCCTTCTCCTGATGTTTGAATTATTTATAACTCCTTTTGTTTATGATTACACAATACAATAAAGTCCATACATGTAAACATGTCGTGGAGTTGTTTTGTTTCTTTGGTGTGTCGCGTATTTCATAATTATTCTCCCTTTAAATAGTCTTATTTATCCATGAAAACGACGACGACCCCTTGACGTTCTACGCTGCGGCAGCTGAAGTGGAGCTCCCCACAGCGAACAGCGAGGGTACTGCAACTCATCACATAGGCACAGTGGTGGCAGCGCTAGCATGCTAGCAGTTGAGAATGTCCCTCAAACCATCTATCAAGGGCAGGCAGCTTATGACATGACTGGTAGAAATGGGCGATCGAAACGATCTGCCATGTACTCACGCACACCTCGAACAGTAAATGACTAGCAGCTGACTAATAGTAACGTTATATTACACTGAATGACCTGTTAATAACCTTTACACATCTAACTGCAAGACAAGTGTTTCATTTAAGGTTTATTTACGTGTTCAATGATTACATCCTGTCTGTAGTTTTCAAATGATGTGTAGGCTGCAACTGACAAAACTCTGATGCAATGTACGTTGACCAACCATCCAACGAAAAGCGTGAAAAATCCGGGTTTCGCACAGGCGCAGTACGTTCTACCGACGTGATCATGTATATCTTCATTCTGTATCTTCATTCTTTTTTACACGTGATTTTGCAGTTCAGCACCCGTATATACATACGTGTGGTTCTAATAAAATTATTGTTATTAACATGTTAATATGATACTATATAAAGAATTGCTGGAAACTGCGCCGTGTTTCTTCATTTCTATGTCCTCTTAGTACGTAAAAAGACTATAATAGCATTAAAACTATATGAACAACCAATGATATCTGTATTTTCTTGGAAAGAATGACATACTATTATCATAATAAATATTTTCTCTGAAATTTAACAAGCAAATTGATAGCCATAACCGAAAATTATACTGACAGTACTTATTAATATCACGTACTATTCGGCATAATCCATTACATTTATTGCATTAATATTAAGTTCACATAACTTTGAATAAACATATCACTATACCATTCAGAAACTCTCAAATCCTGTACCTTCTGAACTCCTTTCAACCATATCGCAGTATTTCACACAGAGGAAACGTTCCAGAGGCGTTGCCAAAAACACATGACTGCTGCCATACACCCAGGATACTAAAAAGCTATATTCGGCTGTCCTTTTGCAACGCCAGTCCTTCTCATACCCTTCATATACACTACGACGCGATACAAATGTTGTAAAAGCAATACAACGACTCCGTATACAACGAATACATTTCATCCCAAAGCTCGCACCTTTTTTGGCTTCCAGGTATTAAGGCCACGCCGACTTGCAATTGATTATGTCAATGAGATTTAACTGTAGAAGGTTCAACTGAACCTTGATTATGTATTTAGGCCGTGTTGATTTGATTATATGGATGACATCCTCTGGGAACCTCAAAACCGATGCGAGCGTGCGAATAAAAGAAAAGTTTGGCCAAAAAAAGTTGCTTTCATTATGAAAACTACGTGGTCATGGAGGTTGAACAAATGTTACAGAGTGTGGTATGGCGAATAATCTACTCTTCAAATCAATTTCTTGATACTTTCGTTTGATTTTGGCATTCTACGACATTGGTATCGTTTTCCGAATTTTTTTTTTTTTTTGCTGTATACATTTGCTCATTTTTGTTCTTTTTTGTACGATTTACAGTATGGTTGAAAACTCTTTTTTTTGTTGTTGGAAATGGCCAAAAATGGATGTCATCCATATAATCATGGCCTTATCTGCGCCACTTAGATTTCATATTGAAGGCAAATGTGCAGTTTTCTTTTTCTCGCACGCTCGCATCAGTTTCGGAGATGTCATCCATATAATCAAATCAGCATGGCCTTATTGATACGTCGATGGCTTTCCGGCTTCTAATTACTGTACAGGTCTGATCATGATCTGTAGGATGACGTTCGCCCCGCACAGCAGCTCGGAATCCGGTGCGTTCAGCTCGCCCAGCGACACCGCCTTCTCTATCTCCGTGTCCGCCGTGTAGCGGGACTTGGTGAAGTTTTTTCTGCCGGCGACTGCACGAAGAATTTGGTCGTTGTCTACCAGGCTGTTTTTTTTTTGTAAGAAAGGAAGAAGAAATAAGGCAGGTAATGCACGAGATATCTCTCATAATAGTAATAATATTTACTTGTTGAAATCAAATTCGTTTGTAGACACAGTCGTGCGTAGACGTAAAGTTTAAATTGTTCAAATCACATATTGCAATGGTGTAGCCGTACCTCAAGATAAAGTTAGATATTATTATCCCCATCTGGCGGGTTTAGAAGGAAGTGCACGAAATTTGATCAAAGGTAAACATCGTACGTGATGCATGATTTGTGTCAAACCTGATAAAGATATTTGAAGTCTATAATGTTAGAATCACATACGTACACTGTATTATGGTATAGCTGTGGCTCAAGATGGCATTATCCCCATCTGGCGATTTTAGAAGGAAGTGCAGGTAATTTGAGAAAATATAAACATCGTACGTGGTGCACGATGTATGTCACACCTTATACGAGAGAACCACACTGACCTGATGTAGAACTCGATGGGACGACACTGGTCCAGGATCAGGTTTGCCTGCAGTACCGCGCGGAATTCGTCGAAGTTGGTGGCGCCTTTGGGGAAAATCTTCAACTCCCAATCCCACACAGTCTGGGGGTAGGCTGATGCCCGTGTCTGCAGAGAATACGGTGAATCAAATTACGTATTAATATATTCTATATGTGAAAGTCCTATCCTTTGGCAACGTTTCATTTTAAGTTCCACTGCAGTACCGAGGGCAGCTACCAGGAGGCCCACGTTTGGCCATGACGTTTGTCTTCCTAAGGCCCCCAATCCAGCAAACCAAATATCATCACCATTCATAAAGGCCTTCTTAAAGGCATAAAAATTCCAGGACGACAAAACTGTAATATTCTGAATAAGGCAATCTCTACGATATGATATTACTACGTGCTGCCCCACTTTAACATCAGTATTTCAAACATTGTGCGCAGAAACAAGCCTGAAGAGTCTTACCCCGAAAATCACACAGGATGATGAGCCCCCCCCCCCNCCCCCCCCGTAACAATTTTTCGTAACAATTTTCAGCCTCAGTTGCTTCATGAATGTCGATGTACATTGGGATAGTAGTGCTTCAACTTAGTGAGTATAAGTGACTAGAATATTGACTTTGAACAAAACTGGTTTTCAGGCCTAAAAACTGAAATGGGCACCTTTAAAGTTAAAGTTAAAGTTATGCTGACTGCAAATATGCAGAAACACAAACATGCCAAAACAAAACCTCCATTTTTCATGGAGGTAACTATACTGCCGATCCCATGACCATGTACGATCGGTGAGTGGAACAGTTTACATCCACATATTGTTACATCACCAACATGTGACGGTTTCAAGTTGGGGCTGGCCCAGTACATGGGCCTCCCCAACACCCAGCTGTAACTCAGGATTGTCAGTGCGGCCATGTATATAAATCACTAGCGCAAATTTGTTTCTGTTCGCCCGCACACTTTATGAGCACCATTCACGTCTGCCGCACAATGTCGTGCACCTGGACGTAATGCCCCATGAGGGTCTTGTCCAGTATACTATAGATGTAGATGTACCTGGAAGCGGGAGGTGAGCTCACAGTTCTTGGCCAGTTCGTGGAAGCCCCTGATGACTACACGGTGGTTCCACCCCAGCGCGGTGTAGTTCCTCAGGAGGTAGTTGGACGTACGGAAGTCCTTATTGGCTGCTCGGCCGGTCAGGGGCAGGCAGTGGAACTTGTAGGCCTGGGGAAGAAGCAGTTATGATGATGAATGAATGAATCAGTCAATATAATTATAATAAACGACCAGATAACAGCAGTTTATTGTACACACATACCCACTGGGTTAAGTACGGGTCACAAAGGATATGGAATACAGAAAACAATACATATGTACATTGTCGACGTCAAGTAACTACAATTAGATAAATTTATTATTAAGTAAATTTGGTTTCTTCTCATGAACTGGAGAAACACAAGAGTAACATTTTGTGACTATATGCTATTGTACGCATTTGGGATATATGGGACAATTTCAACACTTTCTAAAGTTTCTTCTTTCCTTGTGGAACTCATTGTGGCATTGTACGACATTAGGGTCTTTTTCCAATATTTTTTTTTGCACTTTACGGCGTATATTTGCTCATTTTGCAGCTGCTTTGTACAATTTACAGTATGGTTGAAAACTTATTTTTCTGAAACAGGCGAAAATTCATGCCATCTATAAATTTCAAATCAACCTGGCCTTACCTGTAGCAGCAGGGTGACAAAGAGATGCGGGAACTTGTGCACCAGTTTGCTGGTCTCCACCTCGCACAGCTGCTCGGGCGCCATCATCGGGAAGCGGATGTACTGCAGCAGCACCTTCAGCCGCACCTCCAGGTTCTCCCGCCGCTCGGGGTGGCCGGGCGCGTTCAGCCAGCGTTCTACCGCACGGAACAGCTCAAACTCGTCCTTTATCCTGTAAAATACAACATCGGAACAGCTCAAACTCGTCCTTTATCCTGTAAAATACAGCACAGGAACAGCTCAAACTCGTCCTTTATCCTGTAAAATACAGCACGGGAACAGCTCAAACTCGTCCTTTAGCCTGTAAAATACAACACCGGAACAGCTCAAACTCGTCCTTTATCCTGTAAAATACAGCACGGGAACAGCTCAAACTCGTCCTTTATCCTGTAAAATACAGCACGGGAACAGCTCAAACTCGTCCTTTATCCTGAAACAAATACAACAAACGTCTATCAGGACCAGTAACATGGCGAGTTGATCCGATGTAAGCTTTGCGTTACGCACTCTTAAAACAGACGACAAATCCCTAAAAATAAATCAAATTAGAACGTACTGCGCCTTCACAAAACCCAGATTTTTTCACTGCATTTCTAACTTCAGACGCTAGAAGCGCTATTATATCTACAATCTGACCGATAGGAGACCAAAGTTCCGTCGCCTACTTTAGGTCGGAGCTGCAGAGGAACTCCACCTGGTCCAGAAAAACTCTTTCATGCCACAAACTGCATTTCTAACTTCAGACGCTAAAGGCGCTATCCTATCTACACTATGACCAATAGGAGACCCTGTACCTTAGGTCGGAGCTACAGAGGAACTCCACCAGCTGTTCCTGGTCCAGATTGGTCCACTCCTGCTCCCACTCGTCAGACGACATGATGTCATCCATCCGCCCCGCCAGGGCCTGCACGCATGCGCCGATCAGAGGCTTGTGGTAGCATTTGGTGGCGTATTGGAACCACACGTGGAACACCTGCAAAAACGGAAACAACGTACAAAGATATGGCAGATTCAATGAAGATACTTTGACGGATATCAACTGAAACTTCGGATGTAAAAACTCACTTGTTGTTGAATGAAGAACTTGTCAATATACTTTAGTGTTTTAACCTGATGTTTCTCATGTGATTTATGTCTACCGCTTTGAATCCGACATTTAAATGCAAATTTCCAACCGTTTCTAATTTGCATACCTCTTTGAGCTGCAGTTTGGGAATGATCTGCTTGACGGCGTGCCTGATGCAGACCTGCCTCAGGTCCGCCACGTTGTACTTGTCGGCCAGCACCAGGACGGGCAGGCTGTTCTCCCGGTTCAGCACGACGTGACACCCGTACAGGAACTTCAGGAACCGCGGGAAAACCTCGATACACTCGTAAGGCTCGATCAACTCCACTTCCTGTTGAGAGAAGATGACAAAAAGTCTTCAAATCCATACATTGGCAAGCCCGGTGTCCAGTATACGCATACCGCGGTTTGGGCAGGTTCTCCCCGGGCCTGGAGTAGTCCTCCCCCGCCCAGCTCAACTAGGCTTCCCGATAGGACGGTTTTGCAATATGGGAGTTGATTAGTCCACGTGCCCGTCGTGCAAAATTCTTACCGGGGAGCCTAGTTGAGCTGGGCGGCGGGGAGAACTATTGTAGGCCCGAAGAGAACCCACCAAAACTGCGGTACATTGCATACCAGGCTATGACTGATGACAGTGTAATTTTGTATGACTTTTAGCCACCTTATGTAGTAATAGACCTGACGGTGAATTACCAACCTAGTTGCATTAACATGGCAATATTCTCATAAATAACCTTTAGATTCTTGCTTCTGAAAGATGTCGTCACACAAAAATACATTACATCAAAAACAATCCGTGCACCTATTTTATAGGGTGTGAAAGGCTGTGCACAAGAAATAATGTTGCAGTGGTGCGCGTGAATATAAGCATCGTCAATAAAATGCGTATGAAATGTTTTATCTCACAACCTTTTACCTCTTAGTGCAGTGGGCCTCCCGCCAATTATATTCTTTTTATATCCGTCAAGGAGATGTTTATGAGTAATATTTATTTCCTAGCAATAAAAATAGTGGTGTTCACGCTAAACTCAACGTTAACGTCTGACGACAGTTAGAGTTTAAAAAAAATAACATATGTAACGGATGTGGCCCTAAATTCGCCACTGTACCCTAAGTTACAGACTAATTAGATCCAGACGTTGTAGAGGGGGTTCAATATCAATACCTGGTTCTTTTCGTCGAAGATAAACGTTGAGGACGACGCTATGGCACTGTCGAACGAACATTCCGAGAAGTCGTCGTCCGAATAGTCCGAACTGTTGCACGAAAAGCACAGCTCCTCCAGGGCTTTCTTGTCCTAGTGATTTCGAAAAAATGAGGCACTTTCTTTACCTCTTTTCAGTTGAAAAACATTGCGAAAAAATTATTGGTAAAAAGTCAACTATCTACGAAATTGTGTTTGACTAGACTGAACAAATCTAGAACGCAGCAAACCTACACGTAAGACTGATGACGTCACATCCGTATCCTGGAGAGCACGCATGCGTTATGACTCGCGGCAACATAGGTTAGGTCCAAACGAGGACCCAAGACAATCGTCACAAACTAGATCTGGCGCAGGCAATTTTATAGACAAAATAAGCAAATGCTTGTTACAACCTCGCTGAAGAAAATTCCTCCAGGGCCGGTTTTGACTGTTGGCACGGCTAGGGAGGGCCCATCGGCCGGCTTGGCTGTTCTAACCGGCCGTGATCTCCGCTCGGGTACCGGAGGCGCCCCGTCCGCCCGGCCCCTCTCAGACCGCTGTCTAGGAATGTCCGCCGTGCTGTCAACCACACTAACTTCATCTTGGCAATCATAGAACACCTGCGAGTTGGACTCTTCAATAGACTGATATATCTGTATAAAAGAGAGTCCTCTCTCACCACAACTATCATTTATTGATCAGTCAATATAACTACCAGATAACAACAGTTTCCTTTCAACTATAATGGCTACTGAGAGAATGGCGGAGAGAGAAATGCACTGAACAGCTGCTATATGAACTTGCAAAGAAAGCAAGATGGAAAAGCGGAAAACAGAATCGTGGAAAGTTTTCTGACCTTTCTGACATCTTTCCCGCCTTCAACACAGCCACCCACCGCCCCTTCCGTAACCCCACCCTCCGCATCGGACTAGGAAACACCACAAAAAGACCAAGACTTGTAACATTTGCAAAGCAAATAGATCATGTTTACCTTCACATGGTCTAGCCTTCGAGCTACTGCTCTGTAATACTTACTCTAAAACGTAACATGGTGACCAACCAGCTCCGTCCTGCCACTTGCTACATAATGTAATCTAACACCACAGGGTGTCTGCTACAGCACCAGTTACCATGGTGACAGCCGTCTGGTCCAGGCCATTGACCTTATTTGTTCCGAACGGAGGAAGAAGTAGCAGAGCAAGAACAGAATGTTTTCCTTCTGTGTAGGTAAACATAACGATATGCATGCAGCCATTGTATGCGAAAAAAACAACTTCGCTAAGAGTTTATACACCCACAAACAGCTGTAAGGTTTGTTTGTTTTAAACATCGCACCTGGTAGAGACAGGTGTACCCCCGCTCGTCCACTATCGAGGACAGGGAGGTGTCCTGGTAGCTGTCGTCAGCTTCAAACACAGGTAGAACCTGCCACATCACACAATACAGCACAAACACACAAACATGAACCATCTCATGATGTAACACCGAGCCACTACTGTTGTGATGCGTAGTGGATGTATAGGTATTTAGCCTGTGAGTATGAATGTGAAGAACATATATAGAAAGGAGCACAACTAGTTACTGAAGCGAGTCGCGAGTTTAGAAATGCTTCTCTAAAGGTTAGTGATACTCGATGGTGGTTTATCATTTGTGAAAAATGAACAACTACAGGAGTGTTATTTGATCTACTGTTTTAGTTATTAATTTTAAGAAAAAAGTTGACAAAAACGGATAGACAGGCAGAACATAAGAATATAAGGCAACGACGTCGACGAAGAAAAATCTTCTATTCTGTCTTGTTTATACTTCTGGGTTACTGCGAACGGAACCTTTTCTGGGCTATCGACGTCTCCCGTTTGAATGTCCTGTAGCAGGACGCCCCCTGGCGCCATGGATAGAATAGCAGCGATCTCTTCGTCCGCGTCCAGGTCGGAGGCGGTGGGTTTGAGGGTCTCTGCGTCACTGGACGTGGCGGAGGACCCGAGAGACATGTCTTCGGCCTCGGCCTAGAGACAAATGTGTCCAGTCAAAGACCCGAACTCTCTAATATTCGCTATCCTGCTACAGACTGTTCTTCCGTGCTTATAGTGTGTAAGTGATTCAGGGAAGACAAACAGAAGTTGGGATAGTATGGGGCAGAACAAGGGATGTTTTAGCCTTGGGTTTGAAAACCGTCTGCGTTACTAGTTGACTATTATTCTGTTATTATGTTGTTTGTTACCCTTGAGCAGATGTACTACAAGGAAAGGAGTAGATTATATTTCTGTAACAACGTTGAAAGTTCAGCGTGAACACCACAAGTGCACGTGCCATTGAAAAGACGAGTATAAACAACTGAACAAGCTGATACCATACTCAATATTATTCTTTCAGTATTTCTCTAAAGTGTTGTGCATAGTTAGATAATATCCGGAAAAAATACTTCTATCAAACTTATTTGGGAGGTTTTCCGTGAACGCTTGACTTGAAACGCATTAACCTTACCTGTGTTGCTTAGCTCACTACTTATGTTGTTCTTCGAAGACAATCTGACAAGTCTTACCGTATGATCAGGTATGATAAGTATTAGGTGGTTCACAAATACCAATGTGCATGCCCAGTGTCAAATGCAAAGACCCCAAGAAGACGTAAGACGTGAAACAAAACACGTGAGGCCAATCAATCATTCATTCATCCATTCATTCATGGAATTAGATCTGTTTACGTCGGGAAGGGGGGCATTAAGCTTTGACATGTTACCCACAATGCATCATTGCTGCATCTCATTTGTGAATCACCTAGTACTGTACTAGAAGTGTTGCAAAAAGTCGCTGTATCTTTTTTCATTGTATATCAAAATATACACAACGAAAGTACAGCGAATTTTATAAGGTCTACTACAGCTATACATACAGCGTGGATACAAATGAATTAATCTACGTAACGTTACAAATAAAGTACACTAAAGTGAATAAATCATATATTGTTCCGACTTTACCTTTCTTGCGGAGTCCGACCACTCGCCACTCAACATCCTATCGAAGACGTCACTAGACCTGATGAGGACCATCTTGTGAGCGTTGTACGTGATGTCCCCCACCCGCAACTTGACGTCACTCATGGAGGGGTTGTTGAAAAACTTGGTGTAGTCCGTCAGGGCCTGGCGCTCGTCCCCGTAACACAGGGTGCCGTCCTGGTCGTCAAACGTCTCGGAGATGGCGGAGTCAGCCGCCGTGGAGGGGCGGGACTGCGTCCCGGTGACTGCCGGTGGTGACGGGCTGGCCGGGTCAGACATCGCCATGGCCATTTTTTAAAACTCTTACTTGTTTTAATTGAGATGTGGTCTTCTGGTACAGGCCGATGCCATTACTCACAACACTGGAAAGGGAACAAATCGCACCAGTCAGACAAATATTAATAGCAGAGTAATTTGTCACAATTTCATACCATATAGGACAGTGGACGTATCCTTTTTTAACATCACAATACATCTTACAACAAATCATAGAATGATGTTGATACACATGTTTCTACATTGCAATTTCGAATCCTTTCTCTGAAACTGATTCGTTGATGAAAACTATGTTTCAATAGTAAGGTGAGAACGATGTGATAGTCTTTTTATGTCGCTGTCAAACAACTGAAACTCCAAAGTCAACTCCAGCCCCGCTATGTTATGTTACTGGCATGCCGTATGGTCAAGACCTTTCACATCGTTAAACACACATATGGGGATTCGAGCCGGCTATTTTTAAACTCAGAATAAAAGCACAGAATCTCCTTACATTGCCTCTCTTTAGTACTTTTTGGTGATCTTTTTATTTACCCATGCAAACACTTTCAAAAGTTCTATAATGAGTGCTGTCATCATCGTAATACTTGTACTGTACTTTTTGTTGTCCCAAGTCAAGCAAATCTCGCGACGTCACGCGAGAATTGAGTGTCGTCATCAGAATCAGTAAGCCAAGCTGTATATTATCTATTAAAAGTATCAACAAAAGATGTTGTTTCAACGCTAACGTTTCACTGTATGTACGCCAGACAGTCTCCCGGCTGGGGTTGGTTGTAATGATACGTTCTTATCTACACCCAAAACATTTGAACACGCCAGCGGGCACGTTTTCGCCGGCGTGTTCCATGTCCATTTTTAGCCATACCCTACTGTCATCGCTTCAACATTCGTCTCATGGCGCGCTCACAAGATGTAGTATCCTTACAGGATAATGCATCCATTTTGCTATATCAAACCAAGAAGGAATTCGTACATACCCTCAGACTACTGCACTGTCAGTACCCGTTTCTGTGTGTAGATATAGAGGCCCTACTGTATAAGTATGTTGGTGATGTTCCAGTTGTATGCAGCGGTCTCCAAACTCTACCGGCCGTATAAGCTAGCTGGAAACACGGCGCCGCGAAGCTCTTGCAACATGCCGATCGTATTTTCGAAGGCCGCTGACCCTGTGAGCAGCTGGGCCGCAGATAAACACGGTTAGGGGAACTTATAAGGGAGTACATGCACGGGACAGGCCCTCTTGGAGACGGGCAGGGAATGTTTCGGTAAAGGGGGAGAGTTCGTTCATTCTGCCAGCCTTGTGTGTGTGTATGTAGGGTCGGTCATACTCGCGGTCACGTTTCAAAACAAGGAAAATTATTAGTACTCATGACCTCAATGAAAAGCGGCTTGCAGGGCGATTTGAGCTTGTAATGGATAAACAATGGTCACAAAAGAAGAACTTAACATTTTATTTAGGTAAAAATCACAGCATGAAAAACTTTCCGCAGTATGTAAAGAAGTATTAAAGGTGAGAAACATTTCAGTAGACTTTACGACTTCGTAAAGGCTGCTGAAGGCAAATTAAGCCTTTCCGTCACCTTTCAGTGTGCTTAAATACGACGTAAACATACTGTATTCCATATCTTTACGCTTCCTTTGCAAATCCGGAAATATAATGCAGACTTGCTATAAATCAAACAAAAATTAGACCCCAAATTTGACGCTATTACTACACATACATCCCTGTCCCAACCGTAGCACCATCACAAAATACACACAGCAAGAAAGGAAACGAATATCTAGTGAGGTTTCAAACACGCTTTAAGCCTACTTAAACACGAAACGCACCGCTTGTGTACCTGTTGCACATTTCTCTTGTAATGTATGCATGAAATCACTATGTTATGAGATGAGGCTGTGTTCTCAATGACAAGCGTCCCTCAGACCGCCAATGGATGGTGTACGGCTTAGTGAGGACCCCTAGCGGCCGTCAGCAGGACGTCTTCAATACTTGCCCTTAGTAGAAGGTACATAGCTTGAGCACGTCGGCACATTACAGGTTTTGCCGCTCAGAGCTACTAATATTACATTACATACAGAACACAATGATAGTTAAACCAGGAAAATATGTAAACGAAAGCAGTGACAAGACAGTCTGGGTTTTCATTACTTTGAAACATCCCAACTTAAGCTTTCAAATGTTGTGTTAGTAATATGATATGTATTGTATTGTGCATGGTGTACTGTACATAGTTATAGAGTTTAAGGTCATATTGGCATCTTTAAGGATGACATTACGTCTATAGTTGTTTCAAAATGTTGTGTCGGAAAAGATATTATTCTGAAGCAAAGTTGACCAAACTTCCAACGAGAACCGTGAAAAAAATAAACGGGTTTCGTACATAACAAACATTCAAAAGTGGCTGGTTCCTCACTTACTAGTACCACATGAAAAAGCGCCGCCTGCCGGAACAATGTGAAAGTGTATACTGACAAATCTATCAAAATTGCAGTACATGTATACCTTTCGTACTGTTGTGTTGTTACACATTTCAGGCACGTTCCCTCCCGTCTATCCCTCCGTGCAGGATGACCAAATGTCTGAGGAGCGCCAGCACACATATCTTGCCGCGGCAAGTCGTCATTAGGCCACGTTCCAACCGACTGGAAGAAGATCCGTGTTCCTACAAATCCGCCACTTCAATTATCCTGCACCAGCTGTCCGACAGAGATACCCGGGAGGAGCCACGAGTTAATCGCAACGAGCCAGAAACAATGACAGATTTGCGTATGGCCGAACGAGTTTACCATACATACTCTACTAGAATTCGTCTTCTTGATCCATTTAACGAGCTTTTCAACATATCGTCCAATACAAGAAGTTTCGTAGAAATGTTCTAACAAACTTTTGACATGTGCCACGTCTTGCTATCTCAAGTTCACACACTGGGCGTATTTGGCCTTTCCTATAAACCTCTTTGCTCAACCATCAGCTGACAATTCTAAATGTCTTGAACTTTATGTTATGGGTCATGCTGCTACCTACGCAAAGGGTAAAAAAACACGTGTTTGACGTTGCGGTAACTTGATAACGTAATTCTTACATTGCGTCTGAGGTAGTAGGGTACATCTGTTGTAATAGTTTAGCCCTAGTTCTAAAATAGATTCTACGCTAGGTGGAATCGCGAAGTCTACGACAGCGTGTATAGAATTAGAAGCAGTTCGTCAATTTTTGGTCTATTTCAAACACTTCAAGTATGAAATTATGATGACAATGAGCAATGCAATGGTAGCGAATATCAATATCAGACAGATTTCCTTATCCAGAATATTTTTGTTTTGCCACCCTGAAATTGCATTAGATGCCTTTATTAATATCAGTTCATTGTCATTAATAATAGTGACCTTCGTCTTTAGAGCAAGATGATAAAGTGTTAGAAATATTGGACATAACAACACCAGGTTTGTGAGCAAAATCAGTGCGCTTTTATTCAAAATCACCAATATGTACATCATTGTCTGACAACCTCTGTCCCTTTGGGAATTTTCCTCGACACTACCGCTAACCAAACACCAATTATGTACAGAATATTCCTCGTTAACAATAAATTAAGATCGTGGCAGTACGGTCAATATGGTCAAGTCAGGCAGTGACTCAGTTTCAAAGTACTGACAAAATATCATCACATTTTTACAATCTCATACAATAAATAATCTTAAAGACAAAAAATATCGTGAATTGTCCGAGTAAAATTTATGAATGATGCCTATGGAATAATCAATAACTTAACAACGTATTTACATCAAACAAATAAACTGTTTATCATTTTCTCTACTTCTCAACATCTCTCTACTAGAGAAAATGATATGTTTCTCTTTGGTTTCAGAAGAGCGTTGGGCCGATTTTTCCACTCACTATGCATGCACTAAAACAACGCCAACCGGTGCATTCAAGACTGCTCATCCGACTATTTGTTTCTTGAACAAACTCCTATTGCACTCAAACGTGTGATTGTTCAAAGACGAGCAAGCGTTAGAAACGATGACTCAACAATACAGACTACCAATAAACTCCATCAAATGTATGCGTTCCCTGACAATGCTGACATTGTTGAAAGAACGTTATTTATGTAAGTTTGTATGCTAAATCGATGATGTAAAAAAAGGCAACCCTCCGATATGGGTGTTCCTCTTCCCGGCAACCTTTGCAATCGAGTCCGCCATTTTGTTTTCCCAGTGTCCTTCAGGGGTGGCAATGCTTCTTATACGTGGCTTGTTGCGCATGTGTGTGCGATGATCTTGAAGGATGTTGAAATATAACCACCCAGTTTCTGTGACAGTATTTGAAATGTACAGACGGATCATCAACATTGTCTTGTCCTCTGCAAAGCATGGCTTTAGACTTACTAGTACAGTTTTTCTTGTCTCCATCCTATTTTTCCTTGCCGGTTTAGCTCTTCTCAGTCAGTGTGAGTTTTCGCGACAATCTCATATGTGTATCTTGTTCTTTTTTGATGGTTTTGACTATGCATCAGAATAGAAGTGATGGCTTATGAGGCTATACATTTCGGACCTGTGGTGATGTATACACGACATGGTGTTGCGCGATGTTCAAATCAACATGGAGTCTCTGTTGACGTTTATTTCCTTTGCAGGTTGCGGTCTGTTCTCGGGAGACTGTGGCTCCTCTACGAGCATGCGCGCCTCGATGTCTCTGTTGAGGTTGTTGACGTCATCAGCCCTCCGCTGTATGGAGCCTTTCCTGCCTCTCCTGACCAGGATAACCACCATGAACCCCACACACGGGATCGTCAGGCCCAACACGCAGTACGATATCAGTTTCACAACCTTCAGCGCGTTTTGGGACACTTCGACTGTCTTTTCCTTCTCGTAGATGTGTACCAGTAACATTTTCTCCGTCGTGGTGTTCTGTGCCTTCACGACTGTTCTTCCTGTTTGTATGGGTTTGGGTGTCAAAACGTGGTCGTCGTCTGCAGACTGACACAGGTCCCCGCTGAAGCCGATCGCGCACGTGCAGGCGAACTCGCCGACGCCGTCCTGGCAGCTGCCGCCATTTTGACAGGGCTGGCTCGCGCAGTCGTCGACGTTGACGTGGCAGTGTTTTCCCGTGAAGCCCTGCGCGCAGGCGCAGTGGAAGTCGTTGATCATGTCCGTGCAGGTGGCTCCGTTCAGGCAGGGCCGGGTCAGACAGTCATCCACGTCCACCTCGCACCGCTCCCCCACAAACCCCGGCGGGCAGCGGCAGATAAAGGCGTTGATACTGTCCAGGCAATGACCCCCTGAAATAACACATATACATGTGTTTTTTACTGTACTATTTACAATCCTTGGACAGTTTCATCGGGTTGGTAAGTCACTGAATGAAGAGACTCTTTTTACACAACCAGCCGACGATTCAGTGACCGTCTGCCACCTTCCTCAGGGCAATTTTAACTGGTTCACATTGTACAGCACAGGTGTTGCTGCTATAGATGCGTTATCAACACGGAAACAGGGAAAGATATCTACAATGCCACGAGGAAGGTGACAGGCGGTCACCAAAACACTTGTTTATGTAAAAAAGAGTCTCTTTATTTCTTATTGTATTTCTTATATTTCTTAATTTATCAAATAATCATTTTTTATTCAGGCACAGGGCCCTAATTTTGGGCAGTTCATAATTATATCAAATTAAGTTTACCATTCCGGCAAGGGTTAGAGAGGCATTCGTTGACGAGCGATTCGCATCTCGGGCCGGTGAATCCCGGCATGCAGCGGCACTTGAAGCCGTCGGAAGTGACGTCACAGGTGCCGCCATTCTCACATGGCCCCTCCTCGCACTCGTTAATCTGGAAAGTCGTCTCACAGCGGGACCCGGTGTAACCGTACGGACACAGACACCGGAATCCCGCTGGCGTCAGCTACAAGTGAAAAGGAAGGGAAAAAAGAAGAGAAGACCGTTAAACAATAATTTCATGCTACATATTTTCATGCAGTTTTTAATCTTCTTTTCGGCAGAGAAGTCTGCAGCTATAACTTAATTAACATTATTGCCCAACATATCCTAAAATGTTAACATTTAATAACAATACTGGTTCGAAGGTTGTACCGGAAGATCAGGCTCTCTACCGGCTGAGACTAAGACAGAGGTTTCTGTTGACAGAGACTTCGATCGTCATCTCTACCTGTAGAATCACCGATTCTGCTCTGACATTTAGATTGCTAACATGGCCTGTAAAGCACCGAGTGACTGCAACATATGATATCCAAGCAGTTAGATCTGTTGGTGGCCGGAAAGACAGTATCAAGTTGGCCAAGGGTGACGGTATATGTATTGGATACTGTCTGGCAAATGGATACTGCCTGGCCAATTTGATACTGTCACTGCAGCCACCAAAAAATCTGCTTAGAGAATATACAACAGACCACTGCTTACAACCTCTGATGACTAGTTCTGTACCACTGATTACCATATAACGAGGTTTACTTACAATGCAGCTGCCGCCGTTGAGACAGGCAATGGCCGAGCAGTCGGTGACTCTGACCTCGCAGTCGACGCCGTTGTAACCCCGGGGGCACAGGCAGACATACCCGCCGTCCTCCCGGTCCAGACACGTGCCGTTGTTCTGACAAGGGTGCTTCTTGTCACACGGGTCCAACTCTGAGGTGAAAATAATTTAAAAAAAAAACAGAAATGTTATCATAAAAGTTCATCTATGTTGGTAGTAATCATAGTAAAATGTTGAACTTTATTCCAACACATACAAGGTCATATCAGGGCACTCCAGTCATCGGTTAATAGAGACGGTGGACGATATAAACTCCCTTGCACTTTTGATCGATTGCTGACGTCCCGTATCCGTAAAGCCTCGTGTGAATAAGGTCACGTGTTTGTAACCGTAACTCTCGCGAGTTTACGGTCGGAAGTGATTGGTCATTAATTATCCTGATGAAGGCGACAGTGGCCGCTAAAACTTTGATCCCTCTGTACTTGTTGTGTTGGAATAAAGTTCAACATTTAACTGTCAGAAAGGTTAGGTTAACAGGCCACCCCTAGGGTCTGCGAGTTCGACTATGCCACTGTTTATAGCTTGCCCTGTCCTTGGTACTGAAATCTCGGTGTCTCTGATAGAGGAGTTTTCGAGTTCATTTCATCCTTCTGACTTTAACAATAACCGATACCAAATTAGGCATAAACTCTTCTCCAACTCAAGAAACTGACTAGCCGGAATTTTCGACCGAATCGCGTGACGTCAGCACTGGGTCAAAGTTCGTCGGAAGTCGGTACCGCCCCCCGTCGCCGAAAAATCACGTGTGTGCATAGGTGATGGAGATTGAGAGAATCGCACGAAAATTCCGGTGAGTCGTTTTTTTAATTAGGAAATAGTTTATTTCTCATTATGTAATTTACCAACTCAGATGACCTCTCATTACCATTTGGTGACTTGGTAAACAAGATCATTCCTTGAAAATGATTGTCCATCTTATATTACACTTGCATTTGCTTTGAAAAAAGGACTGCTCTCATGTTTTTATGCTATAATTTGATAACCTGAGTGTCAAAATCTCTTGATCTCTTATATTTCGCCTCGCCACAAGATCTCATCACTAGTCCTTCCTTCAACTTCTCCAAAAATGAGCTACGCTCAGAGTATATATCACTTATATAACACTTGTTTTCAAAAGTCAACTGCTCACGATTTTGTGATATACTTCGATAACATGTTGAGATCTCTTGATCTCTTTTATTTCGTCTCGCCCAAAATTCTCATCGCCAGTTCAATTGCAAAATTGAGCTACGCTTAGAGTATATATCACTTATATAACACTTGTTTTCTAAAGAAGACTGCTCACGTTTTGTGATATAATTCCATAACCTGTCGAAATCTCTTCATCTCTTTTATTTCGTCTCGCATCACGATCTCATCACCAGTCCTTCATTCAACTTATTCAAAAATGAGCTACACTCAGAGTATATATCACTTATATAACACTTGTTTTCAAAAGAAGACTGCTCAACAATTCGATAGTCTGTCGAAATCTCTTCATCTCTTTTATTTCGTCTCGCATCACGATCTCATCACCAGTCCTTCATTCAACTTCTCCAAAAATGAGCTACACTCAGAGTATATATCACTTATATAACACTTGTCTTCTAAAGAAGACTGCTCACGTTTTGTGATATAATTCCATACTCTGTCGAAATCTCTTCATCTCTTTTATTTCGTCTCACCAAAAAATCTCATCACCCGTCCTTCATTCAACTTCTCCAAAAATGAGCTACGCTCAGAGTATATATTACTTATATAACACTTGTTTTCAAAAGAAGCTCAACAATTCGATAGCCTGTCGAAATCTCTTGATCTCTTTTATTTCGTCTCGCAGCCAGCAAGATCTCATCACCAGTCCTTCACCTTTCCACAAAAAGAATGATCTACGCTCCAGTTGCCCCGAACATGTCAGGTCACCGATTTCTTTATCTCGCCACTACAGATGTTTTGCAATTCCCATGTAGAAGACGTCATAGCCATAGGCTATATACCGCGGTAAAGGGTACGAAGAGTCAAAGGGATTCGCACACGGGAATACTTAAATGTTCATCCATCTTGTTTTTTTTTCAATCCTAACCTCCCTGTCGTGACCTTTGCGCTCGTTTGTGGGCGACCTTTCGCCACGGCCCGGGACCCGCTTGCGCGGAGCTTCCCTTTGAAGTCGTAATGATGCAAGAGACAGAGAAACATCGACGTTTTTTTTTATGCTGAACTTTTCAAACCGAAGTAGGACTGACGTACAGTCGCGGTATGTTTGCGTCAGCGTTGAGACAACGCGTTACTTTTGATTGATGAGGCGACGACCCAACCATTCATGAAAAATGGTCAAGACAAAAGAAAAAGTTCCGACATGTTGCAACATATTGCTCGCCATCTTTTTGTTTGAGTCATAAGTTGTAGCAAGATGCGTATGGGAACTATACTACGGTAACTATTGTAACTACAGTAGCTAAGTAACGTTTTATTAAATGTATATATACACTGTAGTGCGTAACCTCGCGAGTTCAGTAAGCTCACATCCCGTGCTCTACTCAACCGTAGATAGTTCGTTCGTTCGTTGGTTCCTTAGTTCGGTCGGTTGTTAGTCAGTCAGTTAGTCAGTCAGTTAGTTAGTCAGTCAGTTAGTTAGTCAGTTGGTAAGTTAGTTAGTCAGTTAGTTAAACGGCGGTAGGGGCGGCGCCATCTCCGGTTGTATAGCCCTTGAGCACACAGTTGTACAATCACTACAGCAGAGGGCTACTCCACGGGTAGTGGTGTGTGTTTAATTCCCATACTCCTTCCCAAATGCCGAGTACTAAATAATGACGGCAGTATGTACCATTTTAAAGTCTTTGGTATGCCTCGGCCGGGGATCGAACTCACGACCTACCGAATGTAAGGCGAAAGCTCTACCCGCTTAGCCACTGCACAGGTAACCATCCATAGTCGGCGAGCCTAGTACACACTTTAAGAGTATATCATGGATAGAGAACTGTCTTTGCTTTCGGCACCGCTCAGGTTTAAAGCAGATATATGATATATTCCGCGCACACGGCAGAGCTCTTCCGTTCGGGCGGACTTGATTGAGCGTCTTAACATGCAGTGTAATACCCGGCATATGCTGCTGCGCTAACCTGCGGCAATACAGATTAAAGTCTACCAGCCGAGGATCTCCTCTTCTTATTGCTTTTTTCCAAAACCGGTATTCCCGAAAGAAAGTCTTAAAGGGGCTACGCCGGAAAAGGCGAGATTACAGCACAACGTATGCGTGATCTGGAAATATAATCCTCTCTGCACGGAAACATGTCAAATGTCATATACTACATGTCGCAAGCAGACTTCACTTTGTATTTAGCGTGGTTATATTCACACCTGGAGGGTCTTTAAAAATAGATCAAACACCCCAATATTGATGTTTTGAAACACGTGTCAAGAACCGCCCGTCCTTCTTAATTGCACTTGGAAAACATCGAAGGCCTTCGCATGATCAATGCACTAACCTACCCAAGGAGTCCCCTCGGCCATATCATCAAATTGGCGCCATTTGTTTTCCCCCCAAGTTTATTCTATGATATATTCCCAGTCTGCCCTCTTATTACGTACAGTTTGGGGCGGATGATCGATCGCCCGTCTCGGGGATATGGTAATAGCCGCGCCGATAGCCTTGTGATGGAAGCTGCCAGAGGATTAGATCAGAGCCGGAGTGCTGAAGGTGACCATGGCTGCAGGATAAAAGCCAGAATCTGTCGAAGATTCTTTTTGTGTGCGCGGAGACAGAGTGCCTTAAGCCTGTAGCATCACAATACAGCGTGTCTGACCTACCGACCGTCTGCGCTCATCCGACTGTAAATTCCTCGTCCTTAAAGCTTAAGAGAAGTATCGCTAGGACTGAATTTCGAACAGTAATGAACGTTCGGTGTGTGGAGAAAAGGAGGTCAGTAGTGGAAGAAGTGATGTCTGCAAGGGGTATCACTACTGACTATGCTCTACATAGTCTGAAGAGAGCAAGTCTCTAATTATAGCAAGGAAACTGAAATATCCACTACACAAAACTCATTCTTTAAGCACACCTCAAAGCAAGCTTAAATGTTACGATAAATCCCTAGCGTATGTCTTTACACATGCTTTAAGTTGTCCTTAAAGATGGGCAGTGATCTAGCCAGAGGGCCGGGACCGAACAACGATCCTAAAAATCACACATTCCTTGTAGGTAGTAATACAGATAAAGAATGGAGGACTTTAACAGCTAGGATTAGTTAACAATATAAGGTTACATTGTTTTACATTTAAGACCAACTGATCGACATGTCATCCAGTAACTCCGTCCTGCCACTTGCTACATAATGTAAGGGTGAAGTTAAACGTACGGACCAAACTCTAAGAAGCAGAAGGTAAATTAAGGCCACCGAAAATAATTACAGCCGGGCAAGATGATGGAAAAGATCTCCAAACAACCTCAACAGTGAAATTAGTATCATAAAATGATCTCAAAAAATCCCCTCAGCGGCGAAGTTAGAAACACAAAACTCATAAAACCAGAAGGATAATAACACAGTTGGGGGGGCCAAGCTGATGGAAAAGATCTAAATCTTTATGTAAAGATCTCCCTCCGCACGAGAGATAGGAACTCCAACCCCGACATCAAAGGAGGTTAAATACCGAGTACCGCCTTCTCCCGAACCCCCAGCTTTCATCCCATCTCCTCACAAGCCGCTGGGATTGGAGAAGAAGTCTTTGAAGTTCCCGTCTGGGAATAGAGACATGTACAGCACTGTTACAGCGGGCACGAGCAAAGAGAGGTGTTGCTGGACTTGAGAAATGATGTACTACGCAGTTTTGGTGAGGCTAAGGGATCGCGGGATAGAAACGTGGAAGGATTCAGGTTCGATGGGGAGTGACCGTTTAGAAATCTTGTGTGAACCGTTGTAACGATTGATGGTTGTACAATGTACTTACAAACACGGTAACGAGATAAAAATAAGATGTTCACTACAAGGACAACAGTATAAGGTGTGGGAAAGGGTGTGTGAGAGGGAGAGAGGGAGAGATGCAGAGAGAGAGAGAGAGAGATGGAGAGAGAGAGAGAGAGATGGAGAGAGAGAGATGCAAAGAAGAGAGAGATGCAAAGAGA